AGAGAGAGAGAGAGAGAGAGAGAGAGAGAGAGAGAGAGAGAGAGAGAATAACATGTTGGTCATGTAAGTAGGTGAGCAGTTGAATAGCGCTTGTATTTCCTCGTTATGGTAGTATATAGTAAAAATAAGGTTAAACATACTTAAAATGTTTTCTTTATTTTAGGGTAAAATAAAGAGTATTTATGATCCTCTGAGTGTAAAAAGCTTGGAGCCCGTGTTGAATAAAAATGCTTTGGATCCTACACCAAAGCATGAATGTCATGTGTCTAAAAATGCCAGTAGAATTACATCCCTTTTGGCCTACAGAGCCTATGAGCTTACTCAGGTATGTACTTGGATCCAGTTCAGTGTGAAAGATTTATTACTGTATTTGTGTGTGTGTTGAAGGAAAAGGTAACAGATCAGATCGGAGCTGGAGTTACAGGATATCCACCTGGCTTGTTAAGACAGTCCTAGGATCCAGACTCTGTTCCTCATGATCAAGCAAGCACTTTAGCTGTTGGCCCGTCTCTCTCTAGCATCACCTTATTATATCCTAAAATGCCTGCATTTCACAACCCTAGAAAGATCTTTTCTTGTTTTTGTTTTTTGTTTATTTTTTTCGAGACAGGGTTTCTTTGTAACTTTGGAGCCTATCCTGGAACTCACTTTGTAGACCAGGCTGGCCTCAAACTCACAGAGTTAGTTCCCCCTGCTACTGCCTCCCGAGTGCTGGGATTAAGGGTGTCTTCCACCACTGCCCGGCTCATTAGAAATATTGTATTGGATGAATAAAATACCATTTGCTTTTCAAAGTAAATGCCAAACTCCTTGACTATTTTTAAGCTTTACCAGATAAACAGAAAACTATACAAGTTTTGTTCTCTGCTTTTCTTAGAAAAAAAAAATTCGCTGAGCGGTGGTGGTGCATGCCTTTAATCCCGGCACTTGGGAGACAGAGACAGGTGGATCTCTGTGAGTTCAAGGCCATCCTGGTCTACAAGAGCTAGCTCCAGGACAGGCTCCAAAGCTACAGATACCCCCCCCCAAAAAAAAAAATCTCAAAAAAAAATATCTTTGAGACAAATATGTATCTCTGAACTCTTCATGTAATTCAGGCTGGCTTTGAACTCAAAGAGATCTGCCTCCTGCTGGCATTAAAGCTATGCACTGATGTTGTCAGCTTTTTGTTTAAGTTTGTTTTGGGTTTTTTGAAACAGGGTCTCACTGTGTAGTCTTTGGTGACTTAAAACTCACTAGGTAGACTGCACCGGCCTCATTCATTGAGGGATCTCCCTTGCCTCCTAAATGCTTGGATTAAAGGTGTGTGCCATTACACTAGGCTATTTTCTCTTTCTCTTTCTCTTTCTCTTTCCTTTTCTTTCCTTTTCTTTTCTTTTCTTTTCTTTTCTTTTCTTTTCTTTTCTGATACAGGGTCTTATGTAGGTTCAGCTTGGTCTCAATTATTTGCAACTGTCTTCTTAATTAGGGATGGTACTTTGTGTCTACTTTTCCCCTTCATGCTGAGATTTTTATATGATTTGAACTTGTGTAGGTCTGGTGTGGTGAGTTCATATGTGTATCAGTACTGTTCTGGCTAGATTATGCTGTTTCCTTGGAGTCATGTACCGTGTCTGGCTCTTGTAATCTTTCTCCCTCCTCTTTGCATTGATTCCTGAGCCTTGAGTGCGGAGGAGTTTGATGAAGACATTTTTATTTAGTCCCGTGTGCTACAAGGTATCTCTCTCCACACATTTTCCAGTTGTAGGTCTCTGTTAATTAAATTCTCACCTACTACAAGAAGCTTATTTTGTGAGGGTTGAGTGATGCACTGATTTATGGGTATAACTGTATGTCATTAGGAATCATTTTATTAATGTGTTTGTTTAGCAGAGTAATAGTAGTACATTTTCCACTAGGGCCCATGACTTAGTCTTAGGTTCTTGGCAGTGAGAGGGTTCTATCTCATGGAGTGTACCTAATCCAATCCAAGTGCTAGTGCAATTGTGGTTCGAATGTTATTAACCAAATATTTTTCAAGCAAATTGCTGTTGTAGGTCAAAGTTTATAGCTGAGTAATATTGATGATTGATTTGCTCTGGTCACGTGTACCTTCCAGCACCATGAGTAGTTGGGTACCAGCTCAGTTTCTGCATGTTTAATTGACATAATGTCTTCAGCAGTAGGGCCTTAGCATCAGGTTGTAGAGGGTAACCAGTAAACTTGGCAGTAACCTGTGTTGTTTGGATGGGTTTGTGGTAGGTACCCCTTTGGCCAACAACTCAACAAGATGTAACCCATTATTGGCCCTGAGGGTTTTTACTTGGTAGTTTAAAATATCTAGTTGTGGACATTGTTCTCTTGTATTATATGGTGAACCTAGAAATAATCTTTAAAATTTTTGTTGGGGCTGAACAGGCGGCAAATCAGAAAGGTCATTGGCTAGTCTTCCAGAGGACCTGAATGTGTTGTTTGACAGTTGACAAATGTTTGTAACTCCAATTCCAAGGGACCAGATGCCTTCTGTCTTCCTCAGGCACCAGGGAGGCAAGTGGTGCCCAGGCAGACATATATGTAGGCAAATGCTCAAAAACATCAAATAATAACAAAAACTTTCTGCAGTATTTGTGGAAAATAGTCTGTTGGTTCTTGTTGAAGTGTCTTAGTGGAGACCTATGACTGGGGGTTTTAACCAAAATTATATTCATGAAAGGCATTAGGAGCTTCCTCAGTTCACTATTTTTGATGATATGTTGTTGGTAGACTTGAAATATAGTTAGTAACTGGGTTTTCTAGCATGAGCTTTAGATTAAAAAAAATGTTTTGGAAGAATTTTGAAACGTTATTAAAATTAGTAATTTATCAGGAAAAAAGACTTGATTATAGACTCAGGCCTTCTTTCTCAGTTTTCTGCAGTCAGAAACTCCAGCATGACGACTGGAGGAGAAGGCAGAGACTGTGAGTGAGAAAGTGATCCACTGGACTGTTACTTTTATAGTCTTTGCACTAACGCAGAAAATAATACTTAATATTGGTTGAAATTTTGTCCTTAGTGTTTTACTTTTTGGTTTTTCAAGGCAGGGTTTCTCTGTATAACAGTCCTCCTAGCTGTCCTGAAACTAGCTCTTGTAGACGATGCTGACCTTAGACTCACAGAGATCCACCTGCCTCTGCTTCCTGGCAGTATTTTACGTTTGTGGTCAAGTTGACTTCTCTGGGCTGACCTAGCTTAGACTCCATTTTACAGTATTTTCATTAGAAAGTTAATTGCATATTCCTGTTGTCATCGCTTCAGAAGTAAACTTAAGGGATACCTTGGTATCTGGTACATAGAATGTATAGAAAGTACCATTTGTTTGTTTCGGTGAAGTAGATGAGCTCAAGGAAATTTCTTTCCTGCCTGAGCTGCTTAGGTGTTACTTATGTTTTTAATAAAATATCCTCTTTACTACTTGCCTATTCTAAAATGTTAATTTTGTGCTTTCTTATTTTTAGTATTATTTTTACGAGTATGGCTTTGATGAACTAAGACAAAGACCAAGACATGTTTGTCCATATGCAGTTGTGTCTTTTACTTACAAAGATGATAAACAAACTACAAAGTTTATGTCTTCACTGAGGTAAGACAAGTTTACACAGAAAAATAGTTCAGAAGTTACCATTGTCCTCTTCAACTTTTTTGACCTTATCTAGATGTTTTCTTGCTCATAAGTATGAAGGACAACCATTACTTTGGAAATAGGAACTAAAATGTGCTTTTAGTCACCTAGCAGCTGAGTTGTGGGCCCCCCTTCCACTCATTCCCCCTCCCTTCTTCCCTCCCTCCCTTCCTGTTTTTTGTTTGTTTTTTTTGAAGGTTTATTTGTACTTTAATAAATAGCAGTTTTTAAAAGTGAAATTTTAATTAGTTATGTTGTATATGCTCGTACTCCCAGCACTTGGGACATAGAGGTCAGCCGTGGCTGTCCAGTGAGTTTGGAGCCATCTTTACTACGTGAGTCCCTGCCTTCCCCAAACAGAAATTTTGTGTTTTTAGCTCTCTTAGAATTGAGTTTCTATAAAGCTCTCTCCAGAGGAATGAAATACTTAATGGAATGCCTAGACATTCCTAGTCTTAAGACTCAGGTGATATTTTCTTTTGAGTTCATAAACATATAAAAAACAAACAAACGTATCTTTATAGGGTGACCTCTGTTGGCTTTTAAAGTCAAATGCGCTTCATAAAGAACTCTCTGGTTGTTGTGTTTGTTTTTCTTTTTGGAGCTAGAGTTGTCTTGTATACTATAGCCCAGGCAGGCCTAGAGCTTACTATTGATAGAACTCAGGTTTAAGATTGAGAAGATCCTGCCTCAGCCTCTTGAGCTCTGGTATGAACTACCAATTCCTTCCTACTGATACAGTACTTTTTTTTTCATATTAATTAGTGAAACCTCAAAACCTACAAGTGCTACAATACTGCAGAATTTCCACAAATACTGCAGAATGTTTTTGAGCATTTGGCCTACATATATATCTACCTGGGCACAACTTGCCTCCCTGGTGCCTGAGGAAGCCAGAAGGCATCTGGTCCCTTGGAATTAGAGTTACAGACATTTGTCAACTGTCAAATAATTCATATAATGCAGAGTTGGGTTTCTCCCTTTTCTTCATATATATGAATGCTGACATAACACATTTATTATAGTATTTTTTCATAGATAATCTTTAAAAGACATAACCTCTTATAATTAGGAAAGTCATATCCCTGAAAGTAGTAACTCTTAATCCCCCCCCCCCCTTTCATCTCCTGTGTGTGTGTCTGTCTGTCTGTCTTTTGGTAAAGTCTATGTAGTCGTGGCTGTCTTGCATCTCGCTATGTAGACCAGACTGGTCTCAAACTTACAAAGATCCACCTTCCTCTGCTTCCTGAATGCTGAGTGCCTGGCTCTTTTCCTATTTTGTTGAGTCCCTTCTGTTGACCCCAGATTGATTCAGACAAACATTGATGAGACATCCACCCTATGCTATGAGTGTACCATGAGGACTCTTGCCTTGGGACCCACATTTACTGCTATTCCTTTTCCCCAGTTCCTGCATAGCTGTTTCTTATGTTTCCTCTAGCCTTTCCTATCATTGGATGTTCTCTTGAGTTTTGGTTTTTATTTTTTATTTTTAATATAAACTCTTGTACTAGCCTTTCCTATCATTGGATGTCCTCTTGAGTTTTGGTTTTTATTTTTTATTTTTAATATAAACTCTTGTACTTGATCTTTTTTGTGTAGCTCTTGAAATCATAATCTAATAAACTGTACTTGTTGATAATTACCTTTCTTCATCATTAGATTGTAATTTGTTTGAAATAAGGGGCTGTCTTCTGTTTATACTTAGAATTCTGATACCTAGAATTATGCCTAATAAATAATAAGAACTTAAATATTTGTTAAATGGCTAAGGATGTATTTGTATAGAAAGGCTGTTTTTTCTAATCGTATTTTCAAGATATATATATATATATATATTTGACAAAGCTATTAATAGTCTTCTGTCTGTAAATGGATACTTTGAAAATATAAAACAGCTTTCATAAATTTTGGCAAATCAGTAATAGAACAGTAAGTACTTCTCTAAGAATTAGGTTTACTAAATTTTGTAAAGAGTAAGTTTTCTTACTTGCAAGAATTTTGTTCTTTTCTGTAGTTCCATTGGAAATGGCACTCACAGGCTGGTGCTTTAGTTCAGTTTAAACTGCTTGCTGTATGTGTGAGGTTCTAGGTTCCATCCCCAGACCTGGAAAATATAACAGCACCAACAGAAACACAGAAAGTATGTCAGGGTCCTAAATGTTAACTTTCATGTTGCTTCCAATCAGTAATAATTTTCCTTTCTTTTTAAAAAATTATTTGTAGATCTAACAGCTTTAATGCAGATAGAAACATAGGTAAGAGTCTTATTTTTTTTTACTTTTATAAGTTGAAAGTATAAACAGTGAAAAATTAATAAGTTCAGTGTTTTTTATTTTCATAATAATATGAAATATAAAACAAGTGAAGTCATGTTCTATGTAGCATCAGTATTTGGTCATTTAAACATAAGGACTCTTTTTAGAATATGCTAAAATATGCTTCTGAAGATGGACCAGAATTTCTAGCACTTTGAATTGAAAAGAAAAAAGATAAATTGGGTTTTTACAATTGAACACTTTAAAATCATTGTATTCACCAGAGGTTTTTGATTTTTGATGACGAAAGTTGAAATCAATGCTGCCTTTTTAAGTTTCTTTATCACAAAAATAAACAGAAGAGAGGAGATATTAACCAGGTTTAATAGTCTCCTTTGGGACAGTGACTACATTGTTTGTGTTGCTTTCTAATGAGGGGACTCATTGGAAAGTTGGAATGGTTTTTTTTGAAGTTGGTTCATTGGTTAGGGTTAGGGCTAGGAATGGTTCATTGAAGCTGGAATGGTTCTGTTAAAGTGAAAAGATAACTGAACCTAAAATCTTAACATTGTAAAGCTTTCCCTGATGGATATGTCACTTCTGTGTTGATTTTGTACTTAAACCTTATTTCTAGATAATTTTCATTTCTAGTAAGTGTTTATCTTCTGGGCTATCAAGCAACTGGGCTCTTATTTCTTGTGTTTAGAAAGAGTTTACTACACAGTGTGGAAAGGACAACTTTTAAATAAAGGAAAGCTTCTGTGTTACATTTCTTTGAGGTCAGCCACTCGTGCCTTTTTGCCTATCAAGCTGTAAGTATATAACATTAAAATAAAATAGTGGGAAGGGGCAGAGGGAGGATCATAAGGAAGGGGAATAAATGATAGCAAAGTATAATGACATATAACCCTTTATTTCATATTGCTAGGCTAAAAATGAACTTAAAAATTAAAAAGAAAATAGAATTTGGCTGTTAAGGAGACTGAGTTTCTTTAGTTTTTTGTTTGTTTTTAAAAAATTTCAGTTTATCTTATTCTGGATTGGAATTCACTATATAGCTCAGGCAGTCTTTCTTGTTTTAACTTCGTGTGTGATAGGGCTATATTTATGTACCACCATTTCTGGCTTGCTAGCTATTTATTTTTTTCAATATTAAATTTTACTGTGGTCTATAAAAACTTAAACATAAATGTTAATGTGTTTCTAAAGTGGTTGTAACTTCAGGAAGTTAATTGGCAAGCTCTGATTCTCAACTTTGCGTAATAGTCAGATAGATAGTCTATTCTGAGTGGTTTTAAGTCTGAAAGACTTAAAATTTTATTCTACTTAGGTTTTTTTTTAAGCAGCTTGTATGTAGTAGACTTAAGAGTTGACCATTTTTAGCCATGTGTGGTGGAACATATTTGTAATCCCAGTACATAGAGGCTCAAACAGAGGATCTTGAGTTCAAAGACATTGTTGGCTGCATAGTGAGCTCTAGACTTCTATGCTGCACACCATAGTGAAAGCCTGCCTGAAAACAAACGGAAGAGGGGTGGTGGTGGCTAACACTTCTTTGTTGAAAAGAGCTTTGATGTGGTAAATTAATATACATACAAAGTTTATAATTCATATAGCATGTTAGGATCAAAAGTTTACTTATTAATATGCAGAAAATGGTCTAAATGCTTGAAGATAAAGGTCAGTGGTAGAATGCTTGCCTGCCATACAGCTCTTGAGTTCGATCTTCAACATCTCCTAAAGAAAAGAATTATGCCAGCTCATACTGTAACTGTAAATGACAACTATTCTTTTTGTTTGTAAAGTTGGCATGTAGGATTAGCTTCTGACTTTAGGATGTAATGTTGACAGTATTGCCAGTTGCTACTTATCTGAGTGTAGATACCTGACTTTCCTGTATCAGGTATCTCTTTAGAATAAAGATTAAACTATTAATAAATGCATACATTACCCATCAGGTGTATTTTATTTTGTTGACCTTCTGGTAAGATCTCAGGTAGCAGCTGGTTACAAATTCACTGCTTAGCAGAGGATGACTTTGAACCTGTGATCCTCTTGTCCTCTACACCTCCCAGATGCTGGCATTACAGGATATGTCACCACACCTTTTTTGTGATACTGGAGATTGAGCTTAGATGCTAGGCAAGCACTGAACCAATTGAATTGCAATCCCAGCCCGTATCTTATAAAGTGTATATATTAATATGTCTGATAATATTGCTAGAGTTAAAAATGCAGGTTTGCCAAACATGCTCTTATATTTTCTTTCAGTCCTGAGAAGTTAGATGTTGAAACAGTTATGAGTATTGATTATTTGAAACAGAAAATTTCTCCTGCATTGTTTAATAAAGACACATACTTGGGTCCTAATGAAGGTAAAGTAATTTCATTTTACTTAAATATGTAAGAAGCAGACCTGGTTTGATGTTTTACTGTGTATTTTTTTCTTTGTGTTAGTTTTAAAGAATGGGATGTATTGTAGTCTCTATGAAGTTGTAGAAAAGACAAGAATTGGAAGTAACATGGAGTGCTTACTGCAAAAACTGGAGAAAGAAAAACTTGTGAGTGAAAAGTTTTAAATATTTCCATTATCCCTTAAAAGTAATATATTCATAAGTTATCGTTAATATTTCAATTTATTTTTGACACTGGAAGTCCTGCAAGGTGTCTGTTGGGTATTTTACTATTAGTACTTTTCCTTTGGAGACAAGCTTTTGCTTGCTATGTTGTCTTGGCTAGCCTGGATTTCTGTGTAAGTAGGTATAGTACTTTTGCTTTTCAGTAAACTTCCTATAGATCCATTTTATTATATATTGTGATTATAAATGTTGTATTGTCAAATATTTATGGAATACTGAATGAGACAGACTATAGCATTTATTTCGAAAATATGTGTTTTTACTTTATGTGTGTGTTTAAATCCACTTAATGCCTGTGGATGCCAGCAAAGGGCGTCAGATCTGGTGGAATGCAGGTTACAGGTAGTTGTGTAACTTGATAGATGGTGGGAATCAAACCCAAGTCTCCGCAAGAGCAGGTGCTCCTAACTTAATTTAGTAGCATTATTTTCTATTAAAAATGATTGTATTTTTTTATACATAGTAGTAAGTGTTGCACCTAAAGTAGTAGTAATAATTTAGTGGATACACCTCTTCTGTCTTCCCAACCTGCAGGTTCTTGTTAAACCTTTAGGAGACCGAGGATATCTTTTTCTTCTCTCTCCATGCCAGATGATTTCTCCATATGGTAGGTAGTCTGGCTTTAATTCTTACAATTTAAAAATATATTTTGGCTTTTTCTTCTTTATTTCCTTTCTTTTTTTTTTTTTTTAGAACATCAGAATGTCAAGTCTCGAATCCTACATGCTTTGTTTTTGTTTCAAGAACCTAGATGCATAATTATCAGTAAGTTGTTTTTTTTTTTTAAATGTTGAAGTGTAATTGCTGGTAGATATATTATTGAAATCTTTTCCATAAAGCTTACATATTATTTTTGTACATAATATTCTTTGAAATTATTCTGTGGACTAAGCAAAATAAAACATGACTTTGATGTGTTCCCTTTCTTATTTTTGTATATGCTGTTTTCTGGCTTTGAAGTTTTTTCTTTTTTTTAAATGTATATAGTATTCTCCCTGCATGTATTCCTGCAGGCCAGAAGAGGGCGCCAAATCTCATTACAGATGGTTGTGAACTGTGATTGCTGGGAATTGAAATCCAGCCAGTGCTCTTCTTTACTGTTAAACTATCTCTCCAGCTACCTAAACTTTTTTTTTGACTATGAAAATTTGTGTTTTTTCTTTTTGTTTAGTGCTTTCATTAGTCACTAATGAAATTTTATTATAATTTTAGAACTACAGCTTAGTAAGCTTTTTAAATTGATTTTTATTGAGCTAAAAATATGGAACGCTTCACAAATTTGCATGTTATCGTTGTTCAGGGCCATGCTTATCTTCTCTGTATTGTTCCAATTTTTGTATATGTGCTTCCGAAGTGAGCACAGCTAAATAAGTTTTATGTGACATGTTTTTCTCTGATTCATTTTTGCATTCAAGTTTTAGTGATTTTAAAGTATCATATGCTATATTAAATATTGGGTGTAAATGGAGACTGCGCTTCTATTTCCTGGCCACCCAGACTCGAACACTATATTAATTACAACACTGTGTGGTCAATGACTCAGGCGTATTCCTTGCTAGCTCTTACATCTTCAATTAGCCCATTTCTATTTTATATTTTACCACGAGGCTTGTGGTTTGTTACCATACATCTTGCTTCTTGGATTTGCTTGACTCCGCCTTCTTTCTCCCTGAATTTAGTTTTCCTACCTAGCTATATTTTGCCCTGCCATAGGCCCAAGGAGCTTCTTTATTAACCAGTGGTAATAAAACATATTCATAACATACAGAGGGGAATCCCACATCAGTTAGGCCATTCATAGTTAATGAGAATTTGGAATATTTATGTTAGAGAAGCTTTTTTGTTGTTTACCTTTTCTAACAACAAACTTGAATACTGTTAAGGGATTTCCACTAAAGCTTTTGGATTAAGCCTGGATTTCTCAGCTGTAGTTGCTCAGTGCATGGATATGTGCTTATGGGGTAATGAGTTTATATAAAGTTGTTATTTTATGAGCAAAATGGAGTGACACTTGTCATTTGCAAGACTGATACTGCTTAGAATCTCAAATCTTGCTTTTACCCCATTCTTTGCAATTTGCTTGCCACTATTTGGGTTGGCTGGGGGCCAGAAGGAAGTGAAGATTGTTAGGACTTTTTTCCCATTAAAAACCTGTTCTCCTTTTTCATTTATTTTGGTTCCTGGCCCATTTTAAGCAGAAACATGGTACTCGTAAGTTGGCTGCTGTGTATCAGAAGCAGACACTCATTGGTTCAGCGTTGATGTTCAGATGTTATACTTCAGTAATATGAAGATTTATAATTTAATTTCCTTATTGTTACTATGCTTTCCTTTTTGTTTATTTGCAGCACAAAAGGGTGTAATGAATCCAGCACCACAGGAAAAACATGAGAGCATATCAGATATATTAAAAATAACTCAGTTTTTACAGTTTGCTTTGATTCAGTGTCGAAAAGAATTCCAAGATATAAACACTATAAATTTTCATTCTGTTGTTGAAAAGTACGTAAGTGAATTTTTTAAGCGAGGTTTTGGTTCAGGTAAGCGAGAGTTTTTCATGTTTTCATATGATTCACGATTAGATGATAAAAAATTCCTATACTCAGCACCAAGAAATAAATATCATATTGACGACTGCTTACATACCTACATTTTTCAGCCAGAAATGTATCAATTACCTATTTTTAAATTAAAAGAGTTATTTGAAGAAAATCGAAAACGTCACCAATTTAGTCCACTTTCAGATTATGAAGTTCAAGATGAAGAAATTAATGGTTCAAAAATGAAATTTGGAAAACGAAATAGCTCAAGGGGTGAAACTACTGATGCTGTACAGCAGAAGTCGTCTCACTCTCTAGATTATGATAAGGATAGAGTCAAAGAGTTGATTAATTTAATTCAGTGTACAAAAAAAAATGTGGGTGGAGACCCAGATACAGAAGATACTAGAAGCAAAAATGTCTTGAAGAGGAAGCTTGAGGATCTACCTGAAAATATGAGAAAGTTCGCCAAAACCAGCAATTCATCTGATAATTACCATCTGTATGAAGGTAAAATGGCACACTACTTTTATGATAATAACTATTTTATGAACTAGCTAGAGAATAGTTCTGTTCTTTTCCATGTTACAGAGATCCTCAATTTACTAAGCCTAAGAGTCAAATACAGAATGTCCTGGGTACTTGGTTGAGTTTGGATTTTATGTTCTTTTCTTTTCCCCGTCTTTTTTGAGACGGTGTCACACTTGAGCTCTGGCTGGCCTGGAATGCTCACCAGTCCCCCTTCCTCAGCTTCCCAGAGAGTATAGTTACAGATGTGAGCGTGCCTGCCTGACTTGTTCAGGATTGATTGACTTTGGAACTTTTTCCAGTTTATTAACCCTATCCTTAGAAGTTACACTCACAGTAGATAAGTCACTGCAGTGGCTGTTAGCCACTCTTGCTAGTGCTAACTGTGCCTCTTCCTGTTGGCATGTGGTCCTTTTCCTTTCTCAGCAGGCTATGTTCTTCAGGTGTGTGTTACGTCTCAATTCTTTTACACAATCTAAGAAAACATAAATCATCCTGAATTCAGTGACCATGTCACCACTAAAATGGGTTCTGAATCCAAATGCAAGGATCTGGTTTGTTTTTGTGTATTTGTTTCCTAAATTTCTTACTATTGCCTTTCCAGGGTGACAAATTGAATAATCGTTTGTTTTCTTTGAAGTATTTGGTTGGTCATGAACTTGTTGGTCCAGATAGTTACTATTATATCATTTCTGATGCTCAAGGAGCTAAAGAGTGAAAGAGTTGTCTCCTGTTTTTCTAAAAAAAAAAAAAAAAAAAAAAAAAATTAGAATACAACCATGACCGTTCATTTGTATACATAGCTGCTTTCACACAGATTATAGAATTGCAGTCAAGACTCTGGCCCATCATGATGTTTAAAATATTTAATGTCTGATTTTATATAAAACATTTACCCTGGTGTGTCATATTTCTTTGATGTTCAGTTTAGGCTGATATGATAAAGTATACTCAACACTTTTAAGCATAGCTTGAACTTAGCCCCTATACTATATTTTGTTTTTGAAACAAGAGATGTTTGTTGTTTTGACTGTTGCTTAATGAATGGACCCTTCTGAGCTTTAAAATGAAATTTCTTAGATTCATGCAATTACTGTTGTGTTTCTTTGTTGTATCATTTTCAGTTGATAGAAATGGGAGACTATTATCATACTGTGTTTAAATATTGTAAGTTAAATGCTCATAGTGTTTTAACTTTTTTATACTGGCTAATTCAAAAGCATGAAATATGAGGTTTGGCCTTTTGTGCTCAGAAACCTTACTTGTTTTCTTTTCAAATGTTTGTCTTGACTAGGTTTGGCAGATTAATGTCCTTGGTATATTATATATTTTTATGCTCTGAACAAACCAAAAAGCCTTGTTTATGCTATATAAGCACTCACCCACTGACTTGCATCCCCAGCTCTCTTTGTTTTTTGAAACAAGGTTTCACTAAGTTACCCAGATTGGTTTTTGGCTCATTGTTTAGACCAGGCTAACCTCTTCTCTTGGCTTCCCAGGTATGTGGGATAGGCATGTGCCACCACATCTGAAACTCTTTTATTCTTGAATTATTCATTGTGGTAGTCATTACATGTAATTAAAATGAAATCAAACTACATTTCACCAGCTGTACAACTGTTTGGACCATACTGATAGGAATATTGCAGTCATTGCAGAAAGTTGTATTTGATGGTGCTGTTGTCTGGTATAACTTTGTAGGATTTTCTTTTCTTGACTTTGGCATCTCTTTACTTTCAATGTCTATGTCTCATATCTTTTGTGTCCTTCTTGGTTTTTAAATTAACTTAATTCGTTTCAGTAGCCTTTCTATATTGGTTTGTTAAGATTAGTTTCATCTTCAGTATTTGGCTTTTGAAGACTGTTTTCAGACAAACAAGGATCTGGCCATGATATTGCTCTTTTATGTGCTCTTCAATTTTTCAAAAACAGTTATTGTAAAGTACACACATACTTGTAAAATCTAAGCCTAAAATATTTTAGTTTCTACCCATAAATGCCTTGAATGATTTTTAAGTTATATTTTATTTTTAAAAGTTTAATTTTAAGGGTTTTAATAGTTTAAGTTTTTTTCATTCTGTCATAAATGAGTATACTGGCTTTTAAAATACAAGAGATGGCTTTTCTTTCTTTTTCTCAGAGTCTCCACAGTCTGTTGGCTTACTTGGACACGATCCTAACTTGAGACTGCAACAGGAAGAGGCATGTAACATTGGAGACGTCCATAAGCTTTATAATTGGTTATCAGAAGCATTAGCAAATGAACGACACTCAGATGCAAGGCACTCAGATGCATTCCTGACAGATACAGTCAACAAGGCTTTAGGACTGAGTAGCAGTGGTGCCTGTGAAGAGCTAAGACAAAAGTGTGACTATGAGCTGAATCCTCCTTTAGATAAGAAAGACTGTGAGCAGCCTGCTTGTACAAAAGTTGAAAATGTTCATTTTAAGGGTGCTCAGAGCCCACTGCTAGAAGTTGATGCAGCGTCTGTAAAGTACCCTACTCTTGTTTCTACCAGTGAGGTAGGCATTGACCATAAGCTACATTTGACAGACAGAAACATGACTTTCTGGTTATCTGTTTGCTTTTGTGTATGCTGAAGAAAGAGTGTAGGTGTACTTCAGGGAATGGCTTTCCTTTCAGAAAGAACTAAGACATACTTCTGAGTAACAGTGTTGTCCTGGAGGGTGATTCTAAGCTTTTATTGTTGAAAAAAGGTAAATACTGAAGTAATGTTTTCTGTATGCTTCTGTGCTTTATAAATAATGTAAAGTTTGTCAGTATGGTAAAACTTGGCGTAGTAGGAGTTAATTTCATATTGTTTCATAATGAGTCCTTTAAACAGTGGCTGTTCTCTATTGTAACAGAATCAAAGTGAGGCAGATGAAGCAGCTGAACTTAGTATTAGTAACATGGTGTAGCAAATACATGAGTAGAGTTTGAGATTATCTCTGAGGTGATTCTCAGATTTACTTACTATGGAATCCAGTTTGTTTATGTATGGTTTATGCTTAGTAGAGAGTGACTTCTGCATTAGTCTTTACTTTTCCTAAAAGAGTAGCTAAATCATTGAGGGGGAAATACCAAGATGGTACAATAGTCTTAAGGGCTTATTGCTTACTTATTCTGCCTTTGAATAAAAGTTGTATGCATGTCTCCGACTTTATGTAGTTTTGAGATATTTATTTTAGGGAGAAGATGGGGGTAGGGAGGCTTATATAGTAGGCACTGAGATATTAACCTGTGTTGTTAATGTTTTTGAATACATTTAACAAGAGTGTGGGCTTCTTTCTGTTTTTATAACTTAAATTCTATTCCTATTCATTTAAATATTACCTGTTGGTATTGTTAAATTACAATAACAAGAGTTGAATTATGGCCTATAAAATTTAAAACAAAAGTTTACCAGTCACTTCTTTAAATCAGTACAGGTTTTGTGTGTGTGGTAATATATTATGTGTTTTTAAAGATGTATTTTATTTCATGTGGTTGTTTTGTCTGCATGTTTGTAAATGCACCAAATACATCTTCGGTGTAGTAGTGGTGTCAGATCTCTTGAAATTGGTGGAGTTAAGATGGTTGTGAGCTGCTGTGTGGGGTTTCGGGAATTGAACCCTGGTTCTCTGTAAGAGCAGTTGATATTCTTTATTGCTGAGTGTTCTTTATATCTTCTTGTAATTTTTTGTTTTTTTACTCTCTGAGTACATGTGAAGGTCGGAGGATAACTTTTGAAAGTTTGTTCTCTTTCCATCGTGTGGCTCCTGAAGAGACCTACCTCAGGTCATCAGGGCTGATGGCAAGTGCCTTTCCCCACTGAGCCATCTTGCCAGGCCCCAGATAACCTTTAAGGACAGTATATATTGTTTATTTCATTTATTTATTGGGGGAAGGTGTATGTTTGTTTATGACAGGGTTTCACTCTGAATCTGTGGCTGGCCTGTAACTCACTGTATAAACCTGGTTGACCTCAAAAAAGTATAGACCTTTTGATCTTCCTGCCTCTGCCTTCCAAATCTAATTATAAGCAAGCACTACCATTGCTGGTCTTGGCAAAATGTATTTTAAATTTAAATCTAGAGTATTACAACTTTATAATGTTGGTTTTATTTATTTGTAATGCTTGGACTGAAGTTGTGCATTTGTGGTGAGGAAGTAGTATAGTCTTGACATTACAAGGAAAGCTATTAAATGTTATGTACTTTTTTTTAGGATCCTAATTTAATTAATGTCAGTAATTTTGAAGAGTGCAGTCTGTGTCCCACTGTTTCCATTGAGCATGGATTCCTTAGACAACATTCTAAGTCACATGATGAAGAAGAGACAGAAATACATTGGAAATTAATTCCAATTACAGGTAAGAATTAGTATACTTAGTCATAGGTTTGCTTCTTTTTACTTAGGGACCAGTTTCCTGGAGAGTTTAACCGTTTTTAGATTCCCGTCTTGGTTCACAAGGTAACACTATCTTATATGGCTTTGCTGTGAGTCTTTATTTTTAGCAATATATTATTTATCACTACTACATTCATTTATTCATTTATTTATTTATTTATTGTTTTTTCAAGACAGTTTTTCCTCTGTATAGCTTTTGGAACTTGGTCTGTAGCCCAGGCTGGCCTTGAACTCAAAGAGATCCACCTGCCTCTGCCTCTAGTGCTGGAATTAAAGGCATATGCCACCACCACTCAGCTACTATTATAATTCTTGATTGACATCAGCAAGCATCTTCAAAAGGGCCTATTAATATAGGGATTTAGGGCATGGTTACTCTTGTGGAGTTTTAGCATTCATATTATCAATTGAAAACTTAATAGAAACTGGACTTGGAAATAGGTGTTGGAGTGAAATGATGCTTTTTGGGTAGACAGTAATTTTTAACTCACTAAACTTCACTACAAAAGCTGTCTGTCATATAGCAAATAGTCATGTTGAGCCTCATCTGTATGAAGGAAATGTAATTTCTTAATTGTTTGTCCTAGAGCACAGCCTGAAATGACCAATGCAGATAGCTCATAGAAACTTATTGAACCACTGGCATTTGATGGTTGTTGAAAAATTGTCATTTGTAATATTCTTACTTGTCCATGAACACACTGCCATGCTGTTAATATTCAAGTTTTTATTCGTTCTTTGTTATCTAAGTATGTTTGGAATTGTTTTCTGGGCACATCTTTTCCATTCCTATACCTTTATTTAGATTTTGGAAAGAAATTGAAGAAAGAATGACTTTTGCTGTAAAGTAGACTGGCTTGTGACTTACATTCTATGAGACCTGTAGGGATTCTGAGAAGAATTTCTAAAACTTGATGAGTGTCCATTGGCTTCTGCACTGTTCTCTACTTTCTACCTTACTGGAGGAGGCAGGAGGCCCCTAGACATGATGATGGAGTAAGAACTGATAACTCTCTTATGAAATGGAGACACAGTGAAACTTTGAAATAAAATAGAAAAGTAGTTTGTAAGTGGTGGTTATCCCAGCCTTTCTTCATTTAAAAACCTTTATAATTGCTGTTGAGTCACTTTAAGAAATAATATAGGTACTGCTTTTTTCCATTACCCAAATGGAAAGGGAAATGGGAAGCTTCCCATTTCCAAATGACCTTTTAAGAATATTTAGGCAAAAGAAAGGACTATTCCTTTGTTAGCATTTGTGGTTGTCTGAAAGGTACCTAATAGGTGTCACTGGTATCTGAAGAGAGTCTGCAAATCTAATGGATGCTTTCCTCAGGAGGGAATGCAAGAAGCCCAGAAGACCAGCATGGGAAACATGGTGAGAAACAAACACCAGGTGAGAAGGCTCACTTTGCTTTTCTTCCCAATGTGCCCTCTTCAGAATTGCTACTTGCATTCTGGTTCTTCATCAGTAGGGAATGGATTTACTTTGTGCTCCATAGAGAGAAGTTTAGACAATATCTTTTTGTTTAATTATCATTTTAAAATTTAATTGTATCATACTCTTGTTAACAGATGTAATCTGTTTTCTGATCAGGTGATTAAGGAATATGAAAATGTTTTCTTAGTGCATTTCTTCGGATATTCTATTAAGAACCAATCTTTATTTTTAAAATGCAACAAGATAACCACTTTTTTTCTTTTCTTCTTTCTTTTTTTTCCCCCTTTCAAGAGAAAATATCTCTGTAGTTTTAGAGCCTGTCCTGGAACTAGTTCTGTAGTCCAGGCTGACCTTGAATTTATAGAGAGCCACCTGCCTCTGCTTCCCAAGTGTTGGGATTAAAGGTGTGTGCCACCACCGCCCGGCCATTTTTTTTTTTTCATACTCTTCATAATTTTTCTTTGGCCAACCTTTTTGAATATGAAACTAACTTCTCAGTTTAAGGGATTGAAAACTATTTCCAGAAACAAAAGTCCTACTGATTATCTAATTGCAGTAGGTACACAGGAGACAGTCTCCTTTATCTGACTGCGCTCAGTCAGACCCAGCTTCTCTGCATGACATTGTTGGCATTATTTTCTTGCCTGAGTCTGATAGTGACCTTTTTAATGATTCCAATTGTTTTAATACCTTACTCTTAGAAATCTTGTGGGTCTTTTGTTATTTTAATTTAGGAGGAAAGTTACATGGCTTTCTTAGTATTCATGGGGAAATCTGAAGATTTCTTAATTTAGAAGGAAAGCTAACTGCCTTTCTTAGTAAATTATTAATCCTTCTTAGGAAGATGTTTATCTCCTAGGAAAGATGATTTATTTTTAAAAATATATGATGTAAGAAATTAATGCAAGTTGTAGTGTACAGCTCAGTAATATCCACATAAATATAACTTTGTGATTCTTACCTAAGTCAAGATGTAGAGCAGTTCTGGCACCATAGCTTTTCGTCTCCAGTCTCTCCATTCACAGTAGGTGGCCACTAATCTCACTTTCTTTACAATATTTTTAGTTCTTTTCTCCATAAATTGAACCCACTTGTGCCTGTTTGGCACTTTCATTTCTACTTTATGTCAAGGTTTCATCTATGTTGTGTACTGCAAGTAATTCTTTCTAGGAAAAATAGTTACCTTGTTTGAACTTCATAATCTTCATTCTCTTCCTTCAGATACTGTATTCATATTTTATAATTGAAAGTTAGATCTAAACGACATTACCATCTGAAAAATAATGCATTTTCTTCACATGTTAAAAGTCAAATAACTGGTACTTTGTGTCAACAATCAGTAAAATAAACACGTATTATAGATAATGACATCTGTCTATTAAATCCTTTATTGAGGAAGATGTGTTTATAAAAAAGTTTTGATCTTAAAATCATATGGAGTAATTTGTGTAAAATAAAATTAGATTATGATTATTCACAATTTTTTGAAGAGGTTTATTTGGATTTTAAGTGTCATGTGTGGGTGTGTATAGGGAATAAGAGTATATTCAAGTGTGTAGGTGTGAATAAGTGGAGGTCAGAGGAGAACATTAATTTCTTCCTCTATTGTGGGTTTGTTTGCCTTACTGCTTTGAGGGTTGGTCTTCACTAAAACAGAAGCCTAAGCCTGCCTTTTCAAAAAGTTAGGCTGCTTTGCCATCAGGCTCCTGAGGTCCACGTCTTTCCACCCGATAATGTTACAGGCATGTGCATATATGCATGATTTTTTACATATGCTCTAGAGATTTGAACTCTGGTCCTAATGTTGCATAGCAAGTGCTTTTACCCACTGACAGTCTCTCTTAAAAAAAAAAAAATTTTTTTTTTTGAGACAGCGTTTTTCTGCGTAGCCTAGGCTATCCTAGAACTTTCTCTGTCTCAAACTCAGACCCTCTGCCTACAAAGGACTCGGATTAAAGGTATATACCCCAACCCCAGGCTTGCCCTTAGAAGTTTTAATATGGAGGAAAACTACATGGGATTTAAGTTACATTGGAATTTTTTTATAAAGTTGTTTAAAATCCATGTCCTGATTTTTTTTTTTTTTTACCCCAGTGGTGCGGTGGCTCAAACTTGGCTCTTATTTCAAACATCTATATTTTAGACACCTATATTGTCAGAAAATAAATGTATTAAAGATGACCTATATTTTTAAAACTTATTATTTTAATCAAAATAATTGCTCTCAATTTATCTAATACTCAGGAGGCTGAGGCAGGAAGATTTATGAGTTCCAGGCCACCCTGAGCCTGTCTCATAGAAACAAAAAAGAATGAGTGGGGTTAAAAGACAGAAAAAAAGTATTAAGTGTGTTTACTTTGCTCTCAATAGGTTAATGTTACCAATTTCTTATATGCCCTTCTATATATTTTATATTATTTTAAATACATTTTAATGGTGTAAATTTAAGTGTAGAACATTCAGTCTTCCTGAGTCTTACAGAACTTGAACTTTATACTATTAATTTCATACAGTTTTAATTGTTGACAAATTAATTGGTGTTTTGCTTTTTTTTTTTTTGTTTTGACCTTTATGCCTGTTGTCCTTACTATATTAGTGTCTTTACATTAATTGAATGTAGTGGTCATGACATTGAAAAACTGAGTTTGGGAAAAATAAAAATGGAATTTTGTGTAGAAAGAATGCAGCTACATCTGAGCATAAACTTGTAAATTCATTTGTAGCACTAGAGGCTTGAAAATTTAGGATTTTCTGATTTAGAGTCACCATTTTCTATACTGCAGTGATGATGTGTTAGGGAATGGTGTTGATAAACACTTAAGTAAAAATTCTAATTTTTCCAGGTCTTAAAATTGTGTGATAGTTTTTTAGACAAAGATTTTAACTTTATCTCTAACATATACTACTGTAAATTAAAGTTCTATATATTTTCCTCATATTTAAAAATAGACTTCCTGCTTTGAAAAGTAGTTTTAAAAATTTAATCATATTTGAATTTAAGATTTGTGAGGAAAACAACAGTATAAACTAATAGATTAAGCCAGTTCTTACAAGCCAAAGGTTGTAGTTCTGTTAGCAGTGGATTACACAAAGATTTTGTAATCCAAAATTTGTAGTTTTGGATTACAGGAATAAAGAAATAAGAAAATTGCTTATTTCTTCTTGGAATTATTTACAAATTAGTAGGAGAACATTGTAAAAGGTACTACTCTTGCAGCTATGAAATAATTCAATTCTTTTGTTTTTTTTAAGCCTTTTTTTCCTGACAGAATAAATCTGTTATGCTGTAGGCAATCCATTAGCCAACTTGTATGTGAAAGCCAGTCTAAAAATAGATGCAACTTTTTAAGATCTTAAATGCTATAATATTTCTGTTGGGCTTTCTACTTGCCTTATTTTCCATTCTTCAAACAATGTGGTATGATAATTCTTGGTCATCTGTTAGCATCAGATGTTCAGAATGGCACCAAAGTGACTTAACGTGTTTATGCCAAAAAGGCAAGTTCTTAAAAATCTTTTTCCAGAGAGACACTTTTTGAACTTGTAAAGAAAGTAAAAAAACTGTTCAGCATTGCTGCTCTGTTTATTGAAATCCAAAGCCTAGCCTGTAAGTAGAGCATATAGGGTTCACACAGTTTTTTGATGTTTTGAATTTACTTTGCAATGTATATTTTTAAATATGTACCTGAGCTGTTTGTTTTTAAAAATGAGTTTTTTGTTTGTTTGTTTTTAATGTTACCCATTTGGGTTGCTCTTATAATAATAAACTCTTCTTGTATAGGAATAAAATCACCAGGAGAACCACTGGTATGTCTGCCACCACTGGAGGCCTTTCCTCACGACCCTCGGGTAATAAGTAGAGAAAGAAGTGCTGATTACCAGTTTCCACCCTCTCCGTTTACAGACACTGTAAAGGGCACCACTGAGGAGGACCTGGAGACAGGTCAGGTGCTGACAGTGGAAGAGCAGTGTGTGCCAGCAGCAGAGCCTCCTGCAGTGAGTGAGACTACAGAGAACACAGTGTTAGGAGAGTTCCATCTCTTTTCTAGAAAGATTGAAGAGATTTTGAAGCAAAAGAATGTTTCATATGTTAGTACAATTTCCACACCTATCTTTTCAGCACAAGAGAAGATGAATCGCCTTTCTGAGTTCATATATTCTAAGACTTCAAAAGCTGGTGTACAGGAATTTGTAGATGGTTTGCACGAAAAACTAAATACTATTATTATTAAAGCATCAGCTAAGGGTGGGAATATGCCACCAGTAAGCCCTAATCATTCTCATACAACAGCATTGAATTCCCTGGGAAGGCATATTGTATCAATTTCTTCAAGTGACTTCAACAGTAAAGACCTTTTTCAGCCACCGTGTCCTGAGCCTTTAAAAGATATCAGTTCTAATGAACAGTATTCCTCTTCGATTGAAGTAGAAATGAACCAGCTACACCACTGCAAGGAGTTAATATTGACTTCTGATCACACTGTACCTGGTGATACTGCCCTGGAACCAGTAGAAAAAGAAATAACAAAATCACCTGGCGACATAAACATTTCTGCACAACCTGCTCTTTCAAATTTTATAAGCCAGTTAGAACCTGAAGTATTTAATAGTTTAGTTAAAATAATGAAAGATGTCCAGAAAAATACTGTGAAGTTTTACATTCATGAAGAAGAGGAGAGTGTGCTTTGCAAAGAAATAAAGGTAAATATTGAGAAGGTAATTATAGTACTTTATAAAGTCAGTGGTCTGAACTCTCTAAAATTGAATCTTAAAGGTGGCCATATTTTTCTGAATTTAGTAATTAAGAATTGAATAGTGCATTGGGAACCTATGATCTCAACATTGTAGATGTCAGAATCTTTTCGGTTGAATTTTTAAGATTGTTTGTATGTGTATAAGGACCTGGGGCTGCAGCTCAGTTAACAAGTGTTTGACCCCTACTGTCATGGGGTAGGAAGAAGCCTCTGGTCATAACTGTAGATTTACTTGATTCTGAGATTAGATTTCCAAAAAGACAAAAAGTTAAGTTTTTATAATTTTTGGAGGCTACTAAGTGCATATATGGAGGATCTAGGTCTAGGACAGCTTGTGAGAATCACTTCTCATTCAGAGATTGGTAGCAGGTACCTTTTACCCGCTGAGCTAGCTTACTGGCCTTTGATTTGGAGGTTTTATATAAGGGTTGCTAAATTATTTTTTATAATGAATGAGAATGAATGCAAAGTGTTATTGTAGGTTGTGCTGTTCCTTTCATGTGGAGTTTTACTGATCAGATGAAAACAAATGTCCAGAAATTACATAATGACACATTCATTTGTCATACCCTGACTATGTCACAACTTTTAATGATCAGAAAACTTAATGGCCCCGAAAGACTCCCATAGCTATAGAATACCATTTAAGGTATTTGATCTTGGGGTTTTGAACTAACTGCATGTTCTGTTTATGCAATTTATTTATTGTGACTGGAGTTTCAGTCTGTTTTGTTAGAGGCAGCAGAGGGATTTAGAACACTAAATAGTTCAAGAAACTCAGTATCAATAGCATGTTTAATCCATTTATCTTTATAAGGTATCTCATGTTAGCTTGTTTAATGTGATATCCCAAATAATAGATGAAGAGTGTTAAAATGAAAAAGGATGCATATCACTTTTGTACTTTCTGTGTGTTTTCGTAGGAAGATGAAGAGAGACTTGCTTGCATCTTTGTCCTATGTAATTGAACATAGAGCTTCTTAACTTTCTCTCAACTCTAGGAACACATTTCTAACACAGAACTCTGGACATAGCTGCATGTTGGTGTAGTACTAAGCAAGAGAGTTTAAGTTGAACACAGTGTAATTATCCTTTTTTAAAAATGGATTGTTCAACACCCGTGTGACATTTGTATTGAAGAGATAGAAAATACAATTCTTTATGAATGGTGCTTTGAATTATAGCATAAGTTATTATCATTATTTACATAGAGTAAGAAATTATCTCTTTCAAATCTTGTAGAAAATTAGGTTAGAACATTATTTTTTAAAAAAATAATTTATTTAACTTTTATTTGTGTCCATTGGTATGAAGATGTCAGATCCCCTGGAACTGGAGTTACAGTTGTGAGCTGCCTTGTGGCAAACAAAAAACTTAAACTTATAAATATTTCTGAAATCAAAATGTTTTGTTACTATATTAGTTAGACAGTAGTATCCAGAGTAATTTTTTGAAGTTTGAATTTAAAATGTACAAAGAATACAGTTGCCATTAGTCCTGTCAGATAAGTTACCTTTTCATTAATAAACTAAAAGGTAGTTTGAGACCTTCCTAAAAACTGCAGAGTTGAAGGCAAAATCATTGTGGAAAATGCTGCCCTACATTTAAGTTATATAAAAATGTTGTCTTGACAACTGGGTAGTCTACTTGTCAAGCAAGCAGAGTTTTGATTATGCTATCTGAGCAGCTTTGTTAATGTAGAAAAAATTCATCTCCTCTCTCTTTGGAATGAAGAGTGTCACCTCAGGATCTTGCAGTTCACTTCAGGGCTCAGGGTTCGGCCAGCAAGCACAGTGCAAGGGAGCTCTTAAGAGCTTACTGCTGTGGCCTCTGAAAGGTAGTGCTGCGTTACAACACGGAGAAGACCTGCTTGATGACTGAAGCTGCTGTGCTTGAAGATGGAAACTTGGCAGAAAAGGGCCAAATTAGTATTATTAGTAAATATCACTGCTTGTATTAAAGATGGCCCATGAGTTCTTTTTGAGTTTTGGATTAAACTTCAGTGGTCATGGCCATATTCTGAAGGGAAGTATTTCTGGTAATACCATCACAGATCACTAAGAGCTGGGTCCTGGGTTTATCCTGATGGAGGTAAGTGGGCCAAGGGTCTGGACTAATCCATTGTTATAACAGCAGTTCAGCTTTTGTATGTTTTCTTTAAACTGTAAGAGTGGATACGATGAGCTCTCCAGTCTTCTAAAGTCAAAAAAGTTCACAGTGTTCTAGGTAAAGCTTATCAGTTTATGTTTTATTTGCTCAATAAATGTTGGAAATTGATGTTTGCTAAAAAGTTTGTTAATGTTGATTTAGTTGTTTTTCTTTGACAGGAGTATCTTACCAAATTAGGCAATACAGAATGTCATCCAGATCAGTTTTTGGAAAGAAGGTCAACCTTAGATAAACTATTGATTATTATTCAAAATGAAGACATTGCAGATTTCATCCACAAGGTAGACTATTAAGACCAGTTCACTAATTTGCTTTCTAAAACCTACCCCATTGTTAAATTTTATTCTAAGAACAAAGCTTTTTCTTAAAAAAAAATGAAAAAATAAAAGCTTTTTTTTCCATAAAATGAAAATAAAGCTTAAGTACCTGTCCAGGAGCCAGCTTGTGAGAATTGTGTATATGAAGGTGTTGTATATTATGAATCTTCCCTGTCATTCAGATTAGTTAAAAGTAATATGGTTTTTGAATGTAGAGGCGAGGGGTGTTCTGCTAACTCTTCATATATAGACAAAACTCCCCCCGCCCCAGTCCCCATTGACCTTGGATGTGGAGTTAGTTCCCTGGTCTTTGGAGCCTGCTTCAAATCAGCCTTTCATTACTGCTGTAGCACCACAGGTTCCCCTCCTATCCTTTTATTTGTGAACTGATATCCTTTGTAGCCTAGACTAGCTCAAACTGTGCTGCCCAGTCTGGACTCTAATTAATCCTCCTCATCTCAGGTAGGATGACAAGTATCACCACACCTGGCTCCTAGTTTTAAATTCTGGCTGTTTATGGACTTAGAAATATATTAGCATTTTGTCCAGTTTGTGTTTTTAGCCTAATGTAAATTCCTTTCCCTTAGTGTTCTGTTCATATATGTTGGTTTATACTACTGGGAAGTAGTACTTTAAATATTAATTTTGTCACTTTCCAGAGGCAATGATGAGTAATAGTGTATTTTTTTAAACTTTATTCTTCTTGGGTTATTTGATACTTAAATATATTTGTTAGTTCATTTATCCATCCTATTTCTGTTTTTTGGTATTTAACAGGTACCTGGCTTGGTGACTTTAAAGAAGCTCCCATGTGTCAGTTTTGCTGGTGTTGACAGCCTGGATGATGTTAAAAACCATACATACAATGAGTTATTTGTGTCTGGTGGTTTTATTGTGTCTGATGAATCAATCCTAAATCCAGAGGTTGTCACAATTGGTAAGAATGAGTATGTTATTTTCAGTGTGTTATTTCTGGGTTGTGGTTGCCCTGGGTTTTCAGGGAAAATTAAAACTAAGGGATTAAAAAGTGCATTGTTATTGTGTCATTCACAGCTAACAGGCTTATTTCTATCTTTTTCTGAGTTTTTGCCACCTAAATCATCTCCATTCTGTTTTTATATATATTTTTATGTAAATCTGGTCTTCACTGCCTGCTGTGGCACTTGGATTATTCTAGTGGTGTTGTTGTTATTGGGTATTTGTTTTGTTTGTAGGTGTTTTAAGAGTTTTAATGCTATAAGGAGTTCCCTTTCCCTTAGAGCAAGATGATGAATATATGGTGGAAAATAGACCTGTGTAAATACAAACAAGCACTTACTTCTTCCAAAACCTCAGCACGGCAGACACTGTTTAGTACTGACTTTAAAATCTCAATTTCATTGTCTCTAACAGAGAGCCTTAAAATTTTTTTAACATTCCTTGAAGAACTTAGTACTCCAGAAGGGAAATGGCAATGGAAAATCCACTGTAAATTTCAAAAGAAACTGAAGGAACTGGGCAGGTAAGATACAGAAAATAATTGAATTTTTTTGTTTGTTTTTGAGACAGGATTTCTCTGTAGCTTTGGAGCCTGTCCTTGAAGAACTGTCTCTCTCATAGACTAGGCTGGCCTTGAACTCAGAGATTCGTCCTGCCTCTCTCTTGCCTCCTGAGTGCTGGGATTAAAGGTGTGAGCCACCACCACCCAGCTATGAATAATTGTTGATTTTTAACAATGCTCACAAAACTTTTTCTGGGTTTGTGGGTTATGAAGTTTTCATGTATGTTAACAGACAGTGAGTGGGTATAAATACTGAGTTATTCTATTCTTTTTGAGGAAGATGTGATATTCTTGTTGACATAAAGAATTTGGTTAAGTTCTCATAGTATGATAGTTAGGATTGACTTAATCTGCATGTGGAGCTGCATAATCACGAGGATCAGAAATTTTCTACTCTTTTTTTTGTGATGCTAGATTTGAAGCACATGTTGTGAGCCTTTTAAAAATATATTAATTTGCTCTTTGATAATATCATACACATATACAATGTATTTTTGGTTCTATCTACTCCTTAACCAACTCTTCCCAGGCCTCTCTACTTACCATGTCCTCCCAAGTTCATGTTCTCTTTTTTTCCTTTATAACCCACTGAATCCAATTACTGTTGCCCACATACTACTTCATTAGGCTACCCATCAAAGCATAAGCATATCATATCAGGGCCCACATTTAATTGAAGAAAAATGACACTTTGTTGTTACTCGACCCCTGTCAGCTGCCAATAGGGATGGGCCTCATAAGTATCTTTCCTACTCATGCTGGAATTTTGGCTGGTTTGTCTTTGTTCAAGTCTTTGGCAGGCAACCCAGCTGTTGTGCATTCTTGAGTGCAGCCACCGTGGTAAAAGACCAAAAGGCAGTTTTCAGCAGCACTCCACAACACCTGGCTCTTAGGATATTTCTGCTCCCTGTTTTACATATTTCTCCAAGCCTTAGGGAGAAAGCTGGTGATATAGATGACATATTTAAAGCCATTTAAAAAACTGATCCATATTTGCAGTGTAAATCAGACCCTGTCCCAAGTAAGTTAGTTTGGTAGCTAATCAAATCGCCAAGGGTTGGTCTCTGCCTGACAGAGCTCAGTTAGAAAATGGTTTATAATGTGTGTTTGTGTGGGTTCTTGCATGTGGGGGAGTTACTCCCTTGGAGGGCACTTAGTATGGTAAGTTTGAGATGCTAATCTTTTTTTTTTTTTAAACTCTTTTTGTTTTTTTCCGAGACAGGGTTTCTCTGTGTATCTCTGGCTGTCCTGGAACTAGCTCTTGTAGACCAGGCTGGCCTCGAACTCAGAGAGATCCGTCTACCACTCCCTCATGAGTGCTGGGATTGAAGGCTTGCGCTACCACCACCCAGCTGAGATGATGTATCTTGTTAGTGTTCATGGAGCTTTTTAATAATTAATTAATTAATTGCACGTTAGAGGATTTTTATCAGCTAGAATTCCCTAAGTATAAGTCATGAGTGCACTCACCTGTACATGCAGAGGCCAGAGCAGGATGTCATTTGTTTTCCTTTCTCTCCATCTTAATCGCCTTACAACAGGGTCTCTCCATGGACTTTGGTTCAGCTCACCATATCTACTACACTTTGCCAGGGAGCGCTCATGAACTGCCAGTCTGTTCCCCATGCTGGGATTGTAGACACATCCAGCTGTGTGGGTTCTGGGGATGTGAATCAAATCCTCATGTTTGCAGAGCAAGTGCTCTTACTCACAGCCATTTTTTTTCAGTCCCCAATTACTTTTAGTAAGTTACTTTTTACCCTCTCTGAGATAGACCTCTTGTTGTATATAACTCCAGCTAGCCTGCTATTTATTCACTTAGACCAGGCTGCCCTTAAACTCATGGGCAGTCCTTCTACCTCTGCCTCCAGAGTACTGGAATTATAAGTATACACCACCAAAACTAGTTCTAGGTCACAGGTCTTTTGATTGCTGTAACACCTATTGACATTGAAGATTCAGGGTAAAATAATTCCAGTGTTTGGCTATCTTTCATAATTAAAATGCTCTATCTTTTGGAGTCAGAGTCTTGCTATATAATCCAGAATGGCTTCAAACTCAAAAATCTTCCTTCCTTAGCCTCTTTGAATGCAGGAATTTAAAAAGTTGTAACACACACCTGACTAGTACTTAGCTTTTTTAAACTTACTCATTTTGACAACCTATGAAATAAGTAAAGGGTAAGACTTAAGTTCCTATATAGTGTAGACATAACACACCCAAAGGTGTATCTCCAGTTTTTACCTTAAAGTATTATAAATAGCTTAGAAGCTACATGTTAGGAAGAATTATCCTCTATTTGTTCATGAGACAATGCAGCCTGAAGTGCAGCAATTATAGACGTATGCTACTGTGCCCAACATTTTTGTTCTTAGATGGCCTTAAAGTTTAACATTAATAAAGCTAATAATACTTTAGTAAATAGAATGACTGATGGTTCAGGTTTTAGCCTGATTACAAGATTGTCCTCAAAAAACATGCTCATCAGATGCACAATTCTCATTTTCCTTCCCTCTTAACTAGCATTCTTACATCAAACAATAAGCTCAACAGCTTGAGGCGGTTATTTATTAGCCTCCTCAGTTGAGAAGTGCTTTCAATTAACTGAAACAGAAATTTCCATTGTGAATTTTAAAATGCCAGTATCTAGGTACTGAACTTTGCTTAATCTCACAGATTAAATACTAAAGCTCTGAGTCTGCTGTCTCTTCTAAATGTGTATCAGAAGAAACATCTGGTTGAGATTTTATCCTATCACAATTGTGACTCACAAACACGAAATGCTCCGGAAATGGACTGCCTTATCAGGCTTCAGGCTCAGAACATACAGCAGCGACACATAGTCTTTCTAACAGGTAGGAACATGCTCTTGCTGATACGGGCTGGAGTGAGTGTTAAATTATAATTCTGAATATATCAGTTTCTGTACATTTTCTCTTTTTAATTTAGAGAAGACTATCAAGATGGTTTCCAGTTATACAGATAATGGAATTGTGGTTGCAACTGCTGAAGACTTTATGCAAAACTTTAAAAGTCTTGTGGGATATCACAGCTCAGTCACAGAAGAAAATCTTCCGCAGCTTGGTGCTAATGAGACTCTTGAGTCACAGTCAGGTAACTTTTTAGTAGTTTTCATTTTCTTTAGGTGAGACAGAATGAGGAATGGTTTTGTTTATCCAATAGTGAAATGTTTATTGAAACCATTTACTCCAGTCAATAGTAGGCATCACCATAGGACTTACTATATACAAGATCTTCTCATTTATTTATACTGTAGTCAGTACAAGTTGTTAGTGTAGGCTATGCATTCATTCGTCTATTCTGTGGACGGTACATATTTAGAGGTTTATTTTTCCCTCTGAGGGAGATAAGCTTTATTGCCTTCTCTTTGCTGTCAGTTTTTGTATTTGTGAAGGCAGATAGAGGGATCATTGGGCTATGAAAGGTCTTCAAATGTATGTGCTAGTTTAATTACAAGGTAGTGAGGGTATCTTACCTTGAATCCTCTGTGAGCTGGCCTCTGCTTGGTTCCAGACTTTAAATAAAAGCTGTTCTTAAATTGTTTTGTTTTTTTGTGAAAAGCAGAGATGACTTGAGCATTCAGTAGAGATAAGCAGTTTAGTAATTCAGTGAAGCTACATGTCAGAAGTTTTATTTTATATTTGTCTTATGAAATACTGAATTACCGTATAACTTTAGATGCTGTTTTGACATTAACCCCTTTGGAGCTGGGAGTTGGGATTTCCCAACATTAAACGTGAACACATTTCGAGAAGCTTTTAGCATCGGATTATCTGGACACTCACACCTAATGTGAGTGTTGTGACTAAGTGAACTTGTGGCAGAAGACCAAGCTTTAAGGGATTGTGGACTTTGCAGATCCTGACGCACTATGTTGTGTGAGTAGTGTATAATTTTACAAACTAAACAAACTGTGTATTTCAATAGAGGAGGGCTTTTTGTTTTTTAAATGTAGCTCTTTTAGAAAACGGTGAAAAGGATGAAGAGGATATGTCTCTGGATTCAGGGGACGAAATCTCACATATAGAAGTATTCAGCAGTTTTCATTCAGAAATATTGGCGAGAGAGACCAAAGGATCAAGTGGAACAGATCAAAAAAACAATAATCAAATTGAATTGCAGTCATCTCTTGACGTGCAAAACAGTTTATTAGAAGATAAGACTTCCCATATTGATTGTGAAGAGAGAGCTCCTATTGATAGAGTATGCTCTGAAGGATCAGCAGAACAAGATTCATATAGCAACGTTCAGGCTTATCAAAGTCAATTAGAAATGTCCCGCCAGTTTAGTCACTTTAATGTTCTCACTCATCAGACGTTTCTGGGGACACCATATGCCCTTGCATCAACTCAGTCTCAAGAAGATGAAAATTACTTTTTATCTGCTTACAAAAACTTGGATAGAGAGAAATCTCCATTAAGTTAAAGATGTGTCCAAAGATAAATTACAATAACTCAAAAAAAAAATGAAAAGAAAAAAAATAGGTTATGGACTTTTTTTGAGTTTCTGAAAAGTGAATTGATGTTTTTCAAGTTTCCTAACTTTTAAGAATTTTTTTTCTTTCCCATTTACTTAAATCATGATGACCTGTAACATTCGAAGCATCTAAAAATTGAAATAAATATCTTTTTTGGACATATTGTAATCAAATTAACTCATGTTGGCACCTTCCAGTCTCACATTTGTTACCTGTATTTGAGCTTCAAATTGAAGTCTGTTTTATATGTAAAATTTGATGTTTATAAAAGAATGGTAAATAGAAATGATTTTCTTTAATGTCAGATGATAACTTTGCTGAAATGTCAATTATTTATTTTGATTAAAGCTTTTGTATAGTGTTTTTACACAGGTATAAGCCAGCAGTGTCAATATTTATAGGATTTTGGCTCAGTACCTCAAGCTATATCTAACAGTGCAATTGCAATTTAGCAAACCTATGTCTACAACACCAAGTAGCATTTTCTCAGTCTTCAGGTTTAGCTGTGTAAAATTTTAGCTTCACTTATGTTTTTGTCAGCCTTTTGAGATCCTTGATAAATACTGTTGTGTGATCCTATAGTCAAATGAACTTTTTAAGATGGAGCATCTGTTTTCAATGGTATTGGATAATTTTGGAACAGATCTTTGAGGTGGTCTTAATTAGAACTAGTTACATACCTTAGTGCTATACTAAATCTATACAAAAACTGGTAGAGATAAATTTCAAGCCCTTATATAACTTACATCCCTTGCTTACCGAGAATACTATATTGTGAAAACTGGGGCATTTCCACTTTTAATACAATGAAAACAAAATTTATAGAAAAGAACCACAGGTTTCTGAAATGAATTTGAGTGCTTTGAGTAAGAGTTTAGCTCAGTGTGTTAATAATAGTACTTCTCATGCCCTCAACACTGCTAACAGGTCAGAGGTCTCTAGACTCTAGCATGGTAAGTAGAAAGTAAGTTTACGTCTTAGTATGACAGAGATCATTTTTTTTAAACTATAAATTGTTTTATTGTCTTTAAAAAATAGAGCATTTCCTTACATAATGTGAAGTTTTTCATTGGGTGCTTGGAAAATGCAGTTGAGTGGTGAGCATATTTAAAATGAAGAACTAAAATTATCTTCTTGGTTTGCAGTTAAGGGTATGAGATTCGTTTCCAGCTCCTTTTGTTTCTGGAGAAGACCCTGCAATCATATTGATAGTTAGTGAAGGTGTGATAGCCAACTTAAATACATGGTAGGGAAAAATTATTGGCTCAGGATAGAACTGTTATTGGACATAGCTCAAGTTTCATCTTTTTAAATTTTTGTAGTGGTCCCTCCTCCTTTGGGTGTTACCTAGCTAGAGTATTTTCTACTATATAAGCAACATGGATGATTTCTTTCAAAATCATGAGAAGACACAGTCAGAGTCTTATCTTAGCTCTGCTGAAACAGAGTAAGGGTTATGGTGAAGTATGACCATCACACTTTTTTCTCTTGTTCCTTTGTGTGAGTTACCAAGGTTGAGTAATGTGCTCAAGCTGTATGTAACCAGAGGTAGCACTTAAAGGATACAAGTAAATGGGTTAGTTTTCTAGCTTTAGGAAGAATAATAAAGGGTAAGCAACACATGAGACAAATTCTTCTCAAATACAGTGTAATAGGCCCCCGGGTAGGTTTCAGCACATTACTGGGTTTTATTTTTGCTTGTATAAAAACTTACCAAAAAAAAAAAAAATCACAGGAATGGAGAAGTGTCTGGTGAATAGTTCCATGTATATAATTTCATTCTTGGAACAGATCTGTTCTGTTCTAAAGTTACAAAGAATGGACCATATTGGTTAAAATTGACTAAAGCATAATTGTATATTTGTTTCTTTGGTTTTAGCACTTTATTGTGTTTTGATGTTTAAATGTACATATTTTTAAATAAAAACTGTCTTAATATCCAAACTGTCTTGGGACTTTTGTTCTTAGGATACAAACATATAGAAAGAACAAACATCTAAATAGTTACTTATACTTGGTTAAAAGTTCATACCTGTCTTAATTCTGAAAGCCCCTTAAGGATAGCTTGCTGTCGATCCCTGTTTTTCACCAATTTAGGATTAAGAAGTGGATCCCTGGTATGGTCAGAGTCAAATAGCTCTTGTTGTTGGTCACAATCTGAAGGACAGATGAGGTTTGAAAATCATCAAGCAAATTACTAATAGTTAGCTGTAATGTCTTAAACCTTTAAATAGACTAATGTTGAAGCATGTAGGGTTGGGAGTTCACTAAATTTTTTTGGTTTTGAGACGGTTTCTCTGTGAAACAGTCCTGACAGTCCTGGAACTCACTTCATAGATCAGACTGGCCTTGAATGGAGATCTGCCTGCCTCCGCCTCCCAAGTGCTAGTTCTGGGATTAAAGGTGTGCACCACCACTGCCTGGCCTTATATTAGGTTAGTATGTGTGTACATAGTGGCTACTAGGCTAAAAGCCTTGAATCACCCTGGTGTTGGAGTTGTTAAGTGGCACTGTAACACCTAATGTGGGTGCTGGGAACCAAACTTCTGAAAGAGCAATAGGCACTCTTTATCATTGAACCGTCTGTCTAGCCCGTATCTTCAACTTTTGTAGTAATGTTACTTAACTTACCATGAGATTTTTGGTATTGGTTCTCTTGTGTTGATGGCCTAGACAAAGGTGCATCTGGATCAAGATAATAGATCTCATTTGTTCGAACATAAGGAATAAAGTGAGTTGTTCCAGACATCTCCTCTGATAACGAAGTTTGACCATCTCCTAAGGCCAGGTTCTCTTTTTCATAGTCACTATTTTTTAATGGCGAGTGTACTGAATCAGTCTGAGTTTGCTGAGTTTTACTCTTTATTGCTGGTGATAACTGGAACCTATTTAAAACAAAAACCCAAACTTTAACAAGAAATTGCATGTTTTAGAAGTAGGGTCATAAATGGTTGTGAGCCACCAAGTGGACATTGAGAACTGACTCCATGTCAGTGCTCTTAACTGCGGAGCCATCTCTCTGGTCCCTAGAAATTGCATGTTTTAGACACATCTAATCACACTGCAGTTCATTCAAGATGTGCCTGGTCTACCTTAAGGAATACTATGGATAACAATCTAAGATCTGTAATTTTTCATAAAACAAGACCATGTGGGACATTTGTTGGGTGGGTTCAACCTCATTTCTTTTTACACCATTTTCCATAAGCGCTGCCTGTGCTATCTGAACTGAAGTCACTGTTGGAGCTCTCCTGTGAAACGAGTCTACACCCAGTCTGGTCTGCATAGCACACGGTCACTACAGACCTCCCATCTAATAACTGCCTTTTTTTGTTTGTTTGTTTGTTTGTTTTTTTATTTACTGTTTTTAACCAATCTGTTTCCCTATCAGATTTATCCAAGCTGAATGCTTATTCCATAGACATGGAAAAGTCAGACCTTTTTAGGTCCACTTCAGCTAAAAAAAACCACTCCATATTAAACCTTTACCAAAAATCAATAAAAGCCAGCCATACCTCTTTCCTACTACTGCCTTCATCTGCACATGGAACTGTCATCCAGATTTTGAATGAGCATTCTGCTTCACACACAAAAAGCACTAAGTAGCTAAGAAGTAATATACATACCATTCTTTAATATCTGAAGGAGTTTTCAGAGGTTCTTCTGCCTAAAAGTTGAATAACACAAACACGGAGTAAGAGTGACATCTTTACATGTCCCCAGATACTTTAAACATTGTGTATGTACATGCATGCATGTGTCAGTGTGTGCATGGAAGGCAGAAGACAACTCAGAACTGCTTCTGTCCTAGGAACACAGGCCATCAGGCTCTGGGGCAGGGACCTTTCTGCTGAGCTTTCTCACCAACTTCTCAGACATGCTTAAATCATCTAAATAATCTGGGCATATCTAAATAATACTGTATATGATACAATATAGTCCCAGGACCAGTAATTAATTCCTTTCTACATCAACTCTGAATTTTATTGTTTTAATGAAATCACAGTATTTAATTATCTCACAAAGACTTCATACAGCTCCTTTAAGTAAGGCACTCAAATACTTGGTCAGCCCAAAACTACACATCACAGTGAACTTCTAAGTTTGGATGACCATTCTGGAGCTTTGCTAAGTTTTTTTTATTTTTGTTTTTGTTTTGTTTTTTCTGAGAAGTCTCTAGAATTTCCTATGTAGACCAGGCTGGCTTCAAACTCCCTTAGTTATCTCCAGAGTGCTGGAATTAAAAATATACCCGGCTCTGTTTAGGTCTTTATACTCACTACCATGATTTTATTCATTTGTCAAAAAAGAGAAATTAGCTTTTTATCTTTCAGATTCATGTATCCTGCCTACATTTCATTCTTTAATCGTCTATTATTTTTTGGTCCCCTAACGTGTATTTGCTTGTGAAATTATAAGCTTTTTTTTTTTGTTTTGCTTTTTTCGAGATAGGATTGATTTTTCTTAACATCTGAATACTATTTCATTTTATGTATTATGACATTTTTGTATACATTAGAATAAAGCATTCATCTGAGTAAAGATTATTTGGCTTTTGGGGTTACAGTCTCTGATGCAGCTATTTAGTTCAGGTATTATACAACAGTCAGATACTTCACATAACAAGCATGGATGTCTTCCTCTGACCACTAATGTAATTTTCTGTAACCTATTAGATGAATCACGGCCTTCTGAATGCATGGATTTAGGTAACTACTTTGAATTCAGAAACATCAATACATACTTAGTAATGAAATAAAAGCCTTACCTTTTTGATTAGCTGCAACCTGTTCTCTGACTCAGTTTCTCGATGAGATGGTGCAAGAACTTGTGGGGAAGGGCCTCTATTTTGGAAGAGGTTCTCAGGGTTGTTTCTCTCTAGTAAGTGAAGCAGCTCCATCTGCCTTCTTAACTTTTTTTCTTCTTTCTCCTTTTGGAGATGGATGGGGTACCTTGCTGATGCAGGGACATACCTTTTCAGAGGCTTGTTTATATTCCAAGCGGGCTTTTTAGGACATTTCTTCATAATATGTTTTGTTTGTTTCTCTGTTCTTCTGTACTGATTATACTGGCCATTGGGCCAGCTGGTTTCTTTGTCTAAATAAGTGCCTTTAGCAATACTTAGTTCTTGCTTGTCTTTTTTAGTGCTGGTATGTCCATTAAATTCTGTAGAAATCTCTGGAGAAGAAAAGTTTCTAGTGCCCCTCTCTGTTAATGATCCACAGTGTTGTAGCTCGTTGAAAATTCCTAAATTTAAGTCATCTAAATAAAAATTCCAGATGATTAACTTTAAATAAAACATATGGTAGAAATACACTTTTCTCAAAGATACTTAATGACTTTGTCTTTATTAGTCACATTTATTTACTTAGTGTGGTGGGTCATGCCACATATTACACACATGGGAGTCAAAGGACATCTTATAGAAGTCGGTTTCTTCTGCCATGTGAATTCCAAGGATGGAATTCAGGTCCTCAGCCTTTGTGGCAATCACCTTTACCTGTTGTGCCATTCTTCCATCTGTAAGAATTTATCCTCCAAATAAAACTATCCATTAAAGAACTGCTAATTATCCCCTTTAAAAGAAGCTGGTAACCACTATTCTGCTTTGATATTCTAGAAACTAGCCCTTATAACCAGTCCTATGCTACGCACCTGTCATCCCAGCAGTAAGGAAGCAGAGGCAAGAGGACTGGAGCGAGCTCCGCTAGCTTGGTCTACAGAGTTTCAGGAAGCAAGTTCCAGGCTATTAAAAAAAAAAAATTAAAAGTAACAGGCTTATTCAAATAGTATAAAACTCTGAATTTATAACCATGTTGGACATATTTTAGGATTTCCTTATGCTGATTCACTGCATAAAACTGGCTTAATTTTGTTTATCTGCATACATACTCAGGTTGGAGCAACCTCAGGAATGCTGCTGTGACTCCAAGTTTCTATTATTTGAGGAAGACTTGGAATTTTTCTGTGTTTTGTTTTAATTATTTTAGGTGTAAATCCCAAAATGGAATTCTGTTAGTTTTTTGAGCAACTGCTATACTGTTTTCTACAGCAGGTGAACCTTACCATTAACAAAGCAATTTTAAGAATGCATTTGAGTGGCACCACAGATACCACCATACTTTCATATGAACTCTGGCTAGTCTGGTGTGCTGAGCTAATCACAAGTAACTGGCAGAAAATAGTGATGTGGTTATGTCTGTTTCCTTCAGGAAATGGGGGGGGGAGTACTCTTGAGCCCCAAGAGTTAAACAAAAGGACACATGTCTAAGAAAAATCATGAAGATTCTTGAGGGGACCCTTCCCAGCACTATAAAAAAGCCCTGCTGGAGGAGACTCTGCCCAGCAGAACTACACTGGAAAGTCCTACTGTGGAGCTGTGTGCAAGCTGTGCAGAACTCCAGGTTGCAGCTTTCAGGGTGGGCACTAGTTTTGGGGGTGTGCTCTCAGGTAATGTAGCTGCTTTCGAGTTATCCCTGATCCTCAATCGTAACCCCTCCTGTTAGTAACCCTCCAGTAAAACTACCTGGTTCACCAGTGGGACACTGGTGCAGTTGTCACTCTGCTCTCTTGGGCTTCCTTTCTGGGGTGAGATGTTGCATCTCCCCTGGAAAAGAATTAAAGATGCCTCTGCAGAACTTAAAAACTTCCAAACCTAGGAGCTGGCTTGGCAGGTTAAGAGCAGTACTTCCTTTAAAGTTTGCTTCCCAGCACCTATCCATCTATAACTCCAGGAAATTGGACACTATCTTCTGGTTTCCATGGGCACTGTATTCATCTACACACGCCTATCCACTCCTATACATATATACCAAATTAAAAATCCCTTTTAAAATATTCAGAAGTATCTAATTGTGAATACTACCTTATTTAAAATTTAAAACCAGCACATGAAAATACATGCATTATCAGTCAGTCACTGGGGTAATGCAGATTAGAATCCAAGTTTTGCAAGGACATGGAGAGATAAGAACACTTCTACACTGCTACGACAGGGGCTTTGGATGACAGTTCAGCAGCTCCCCAACACCTATCACATAGCTCAGAAATTCTAACTCTTTCCTAAGAGAACAAAACATCTACAGAAAAAGAAATAACTGAAATGTCTATAGATAGAACAATATCCAGTATAATTCACATAGTGAAGTCTAGGGAATAAATGGAATTGTGTCATAATAAGATCTACAACATAGATAAACCCATATATCATGCTGGAAGTCAGTAAGCCAGAAACAAAAGACCACTTTAACAGCATAATTCTGATTACATGATAAGTACAGAACAGGGAGAATGTTCTAGGACAATGAGCTGGAGAGAGTAGAAGGGCCACCTATTTGTGAGTTACTCTGAGTACTGTGCTCATTTCCAGTGTGCATACACTAAAACTGGGGTGAGAATAGCATGTCCCCTGTGCAAGGATGACTTGCAAATTGGTGATATATTCTGTATTTTTAAAAAGCATCTTTCATAGAAAATAAATTTGAATACTGAAAAGGTTGTAAAACTGTGATGGTAACTGCACAGTAATGAACATGTTAAAGAACATCTGAACATGGTGCACACCTTTAATAGTAGAGCTTGGAAGGGAGAGGCAGGAAGATTTCTGAGAGTTCCAGACCAGTCTGGTCTACATAGTGAGTTCCTATGCAAATTTCTAGGTAGAAATTTGATCAAGTGCTTGCCCTAGCATGCACTATATCCTGGGCTCAATCCCAGGGGCACAGTGCTACATGCCTGTAATCCCAGTGTTCCACATGTGGGGGCAGGAATATTAGTTCTAGGTCACCCTTGGCTACAAGACACCTCATTGCAAAGACATCTTTACTTTAAATGTGAAACAGAACAATAAAGCCCTCCATGAATACCTGTCTGCACGCCAATGTCCGTCCTGGGAGAGTTTGTGGAAGGGGTAGTTGCATGGGTTTCTTCAGCAGTCTCCTCAGCATCTCTTCCTGAACTGGAAATGGTAGTGGATGCCTTATAATCCACTATTGCTGTGTCAAATGGCAATGAGAAACAGCCCTTAAAATGGCACACAGAGTACTAACACTCCAGCTGGTGACTGTCTGCCTAGCACACAAGGCCCTGGGAAAGTACAGCAGCAGTCAAAGACTTTTTTACTCAATCGTCAAAAGCTATAGTCAAATTTTTGAAAGGCTAGTCTTACAGTGTAGCCTAAATTTATTATTAAAAGTTACCTTGCTGAATTTGAAAATCTAAGAATGGAAAAGTGCACATTTTACCTATGTCAGGATTACTGTGAAAATTTCTATGAAAAAGACTGCAACATGTACTGTTTCAGGGCAGTTTTCTAAGGTGGCTTGGGTGAAAAGCTTCCAGTCCTTTAAAAATATTTAATTAATGTGTGTTTTTAAGGATTTAAAGTAGACAAGTATTTAAAATCATCCTCAGAACCAAAACTATCAATAAAATTCCAATTAGTCACTTACCGCCAAGATTTTTAATCAGCCTGGATGCATCATGTCCTTTCTGAGTCAATTCTCGGATCCTCTGCTCCTGTTTCAGTCTCTGTGCCAACTCCTGAGCGCGCTGCATGGTGTGGAACAGCTCATTTGTCTTTAGAGTCATGATTTCCTAGCAAGGTTGACGTATCCAGGAAAAGAGTTAGCAAGCACATTAAGTGCAGTGACTGTTCATGTTCAGTACAAACACTCAAGCTTCCCCTAGAGCGGCTGCTGGATAGGTATCAGCTGAGGAACAGTCAATAGGGCCTGTTCGCGATTATAATCCTAACATGCCTGTTCTTGCTGTTAGACAGGGTCTCACTGTAAACCAGGCTGCCCCTGAACTCTCAGACTTTGAATTACAGGTGTGCACCACCACTATGCCATCTGTCTCAGCCTGGTCCATGAAACTGGTCTATGAAACCATACCTTTCCACATCCTATTTTTTGAAAGGTACAAAGTAGAAACTGGCAAAGAAGTGCCAACTTTGTGTTTTTACCACTGCCAACGGAAACAGCACTGACGCTCTGCTCTATCAGTTCTATCCGGTCAGCTTGGACACAGCACTTGGACCGCCCTACCTACTCAGCCCAATGGAAGCCTCTGACACAGTCAGGAATTTCTTCAGCAATCCCAGCCAATCATTACTCTTTTTTAATATCTAGAATCATTACTACTTTTAATTTATTTAGGGGTGGGGAGGTGGTAATGTTTGTACCACAGTGTGTATATGGAGGTCATAAATCAGCTTTCCAAATCCTTTCTTGGGACATGTGTTCCAGGTACTGGTGGTGAACATGCCTTACCCGCTGAGGCATCCTGTGGCCCCAATACCTAGAATTATTAGAAGGAACTGTGTATCTACTAACCAGGTAATAATGAAGCTTGGCACTGTTTTCACCCTGAGCACCTCCCATTAACACACCAAGCGTGCAGCATCTGAGACGTGGACTATATGAGGAGTGTGACCCTGCCAGGCCTCCTTTTCCTTAGCTGTAATGTTTCCACATGTAGCTGTACAATTCAAAACATGTGCAGACCTCCAGCCTCTTCCTTACTTCCATAATACAAGTACCTACTTCCTTCTGCTTCTGCTTCAGAATATCCTCTTCATATTGCCTCTGCATCTCCTCCCGTTCCCGAGCCAAGCGCTGCTCCTCTTCCTGCTCTTCCTTCTTTCTTTGTTCTTCTTCCTGTTGCTTCTTCCTGCGATTCTCTTCTACCTGAGCCATGATTGCTTTCTGGTCAGAAGTAATTACAAGTTACTCTGACAAATAAAAATTTATATAGTGCTGGCTTTGATGATGAGAATATAATTTATCAGTTAGACACACAATGAAGGGTGGAAGTAATTGTGCTTCCTAGCATGTGTATCACAAAAGAGAATCAACTAAAGGAATTACCTCACTACTCGCCACACTGACTAATAAATGGGAGATGCTCTCAGCTTTTTACTGTGATCAAAAAGAAAATTAACTGGGCCAAATTACTCATAAAATATTCAAAAGAATTGCTGAACCTGGGCACAGCGATGCATGCTGAGGGCCTATCTGTACTGGGCACAGAGTGTAGTGATATTTCATTTGTATTTTAATAAATGAAACTTGCCTGAAGATCAGAGAGTGGAGCAGCCCCACTGGTCAGCCATACAGACCAGGCAGTTGTGACACACACCTTTAATCCCAGTAGCTATACTAGTTTAATTCCAGCCCTAGAAAGGATTTTAAAATGAGAGGAGACAGCTCTTAGGCTCAGTCTCATTCTGAGATTCTTAGAGGCAGGATTGTCATTTTCAAACCAAGGTCAAGGTAACAGCCAGTGCCTGGCTGCCTTGCTTTTCTGACCTTCAGATTTAACGCCAATTTCTCTCTCTGAGTTTTTATTAATCATGCTTCAACTGCATGCTGAATGTCTATCTGTGGCCCCTGCTACTCAGAAGACTAGGTTAGAAAATGTTTGAGCCACATCTGAGCAACATGGCTCATTTCAACACGCAAACTCTTCAGAGAAAAGAGAACCACAAAAACTTAGATCATGAAATGTCTCTAACGTCAGCCTGAAAAGAGTTTTAATCTTAGCCTTATATTACCTACTAGATTGCTTAGTCAGACATCTACTTTAATTTTTTTGGTATGTTTTCTTTCAAAGACCCAAATGGAACTCTGAGGCAGTAGCTAATACTTCATAATAGTTCCAAGAGTATACAACATACTCATTTAATGGATCCGCCAGAAGGCAGGAAGCATGACAATAATGCTGTCTGGTCCTCCGCCCAAGCTTATTTCTAATAGGATACCATGCGGGGCGCCATCCTGTCCAGCAGGAATGAACCCCACCAAAAACGAGAATTCCTTCTCTGGTCACATCTTTATTTGGAGCATTCCCTTGAGGAAAATTGGGGGAAGGGACGATAGAGCAGGGACGAGAGAAAGCTTAGAGAGAGGGAGTAGGGTCCCGAGGCATCTGCTTTTAAACGGTGGAGCGGCTTGAACGCTGTCCTGATTGGTTAATGCCATTCTGCTGGTCTGAGCATGTGCAGGCAAGGGTGCAGGCAGGGGTGCTCAGCCCCACGTGGCTACCTCCAAACTGCAGGACCACCTGTGCCTCCAGGTGGCTCCCAACAATACCAGTTGTGTTAAGAGACTGGATTTACAGCAGAATATAAGTGAACCCAAGCTGAAAATTGGGATTTGGGAGGTGGAGATCAAGAATTCAAGACCAGCCTTGGCTACTTAGCAAATTCAAGATTAGTCTGAGCTACATTCAAGCTTCTCTCGGGGGGAAAAAATACTCAGTTTTCCATTTACTTAAGTGCGTGCTGGCCGTCATGGCTTACTAAGGCAAAGAACACTGTTTTACAATGTGAGGCACAGTACACAAACACCAAATGCTTCCGTGTGATACCTGATGTTCTAATTGCTTGTGCCGGCGTTTTTCCCGCTCCTCAATCTGTGCTGGGTCCAAGAGTGCAGTCATAGAACGGAGAAAGCTGTGAAGCACACATTAGTTATTCAGAATTGCCAGAAAAGTTAACCATCTTTTGTTTAAGCTACATCTTTAATCACTTCTATTTCAAAGAAAAATGCCAAGCTGAAAATAACTAGACACAGTGACAGTTCTAGTCAAATACACTTTCTGAAGACTAAACGCTAGATGTAAACTTACTTTGTTTTCTGACTGTATGACACAGTCATATCCGTAACAGGTTTGGCTCTCTGTTCTTCTGAAGGTTCCAGCTGGATGGCAAGTGAAGGTGTGTAAACACTGTGGACATCAGTCAGCTCCTGAGTGTCAGGAGAGACACAACAGGACTCCGAGTGTTGGTGTGTTCGCTGACAGGACAGCCGAAATTGAGAACCAGCATGACTCGTTAAGGAATCAGAGTGCACTGCCCATCTGTCATGTTCCTCGCCCTGACAGTGACAAACGAGAAACACCCAGAATCTTTTCAACTACTCCTGTACAAAATTATGAACGACAAACAGTAATGGCTGGAGAGAGAGGTTTTAAGATTTTTAGCTGGGTGGTGGTGGCGCACGCCTTTAATTTCAGCACTTGGGAGGCAGAGACAGGTGGATCTCTGTAGTTTGAGGTAACTACAAGAGCTAGTTATAGGACAGGCAAAGATTTTAATTATTTTTGATTTCATGTATGTGTAGGTATGTGCATGGGAGCAGGTTCCCACAGAAGAGTTCCAAAGCAGTGTCAAATGCCCTGGGGCTGGAGTTGAAGACACGGTAAGCTACCTAGGATAGATGCTGGAAACTGAACTCGGTCCTCCTTAAGAGCACTATGTACTCTTAACCACTGGGCTATCTCTCCAGCACCAGTTGTTATTTTTTTCTTTAATTAATTAATTAATTGTTTTTTGAGTCAGGGTTTCTCTATGTAACAGTCTTGACTGTTCTTGGAACTCACTATGTAGACCAGGCTGGCCTCGAACTCGCAGAGCCCTGCCTGCCTCTGCCTTCTGAGTACTCGGATCAAAGGTGTGCGCCACCACCACCTGGTGCACCAGTTGTTCTTAATGGCCTCTTATTTTTTTTTTTAATGTTCATAGGCTCTACATCCTTTTGAATTCACGATAGTCTTTTGAGGAGCTTACATATAGTTCTGAATACTGTTGTATCAATGTGACAACACAAGACAGTCACCTAAGAGGAGGCACCTCAAGGAAAACATGCCCCTCTACGATCCATTAGTGATCAGTGGGTGAAAGTCCAGCCCACGGTGGGAGCCATCCCTAGGCTGGTGTCCTGGGTTCTACAAGAAAGCAGGCTGAGTTGGGTATCAGGAGCAAGCCAGTAAGCAGCTCCCCTCCATGGCCTCTGCATCAGTTCCCGCCTCCAGGTTCCTGCCCTGATTGAGTTCCTGTTCTGGGTTCCCTCAATAATAAACTACTGTGCAGAAGTATAAGCCAAATAAACCCTTTCCTCCCCAACTTCTTTTTGGTCATGGTGTTTTGTTTTATTGCAGCAACAAAGATCCTAACTAAGTTACATATTAATGACTTTTTTAATAACTTGTGGCTTTAATTATTCCCAGATGGCTCGGCAAGTAAGGACATTTGCCTAACCCGATGACCCAAGTATAATCCTGCACTCAGTGACTCTTTGAATGTTGCCTACTGACCTCCACACAGGATGTGGTGTGTGCACCCCCCCCCCACAAACATACTAAAAAATGTAAAAACCAATGCTTTAAAAATGGTAAATGTTATATGTACTTTATCTCAAAACGTGGTGGGAGGTTTGTTTGTTTGCTTGTTTTTAATTAGGTAAAGCACAAAATAACTTCCTGCTGGCCAGCTGTAGGCTGCGTCTGATAGGGGCGAACATCAGGGGTGTGGTCTGGGAGGGCAAGCGGCAGCAGTGTGCTCAGCGATGGTAACTATTCTGTATCAAAGTGTGGATTAGAACATACCCTCTTTATTTCAGGGGCTTCTGGGGTGCTATTCATGAGGAGAAAGCCAAGATTTCAATTTGGGGGGTAATCTCAAAAACCTCATGTTTCATTAACCTGGAAGCACAAAAGGAGCTTAAACATGCACAGTGTAAAGGAACGGACTTTTTATTACCAAGTTCATTCACTCTTCTTTTGTCAATAAAATAGTATTTCTCCAAAGGCTGAAGATGTAACTCTTGCCTAGCACATACAAAAAGAAAAATGCAACAGAAACTTGCCAATAGCACACATAATCACAGTGCATGAGGCCGCTCTCCAATAGCGCACACACTCACAGTGCACGAGGCTGCTCTCCAATAGCGCACACACTCACAGTGCACGAGGCTGCTCTCCAATAGCACACACACAGTGCACGAGGCTGCTCTTCACTACTGAAGGACAGCAGTTCATCACACTCTTCTTTTACTCTTGCTTAGCCAGACCTGGAGTTTGAGTCTTTGTTTTCAGACTTCCACTACGGAGCCACAGACAGATACAAGCCCCTGACAGTAAGAGAGAAGGAGTCTAGACCCTCAGCACCCACATAAATGTTGGGCAGTTGTGGGGGCCAGTCCATAATCCAGAATGTGAGCTCAAGCCCTAGAATCAGACTCTCTGAACTGGGAGCTACAAGACAAGTGAGAAACTCGGCCTCAACAGGTAAACAGAAATCTAGGAAGACACCAGAAGTCACTCTCTGGCTTCCAAATGTACATTCACATGTGTACATATATAACCACATACTTGGGAATATATATACATACAGATATGCAAGCAAACCACACATATGCATGCACCCACACACACAAAGTTAAAAAGTTAAAAAAATATATCTAATGATTGGCAATTAGAAGAAAAGAGACTCAGAATCATTCCTTTGAGGCAAATAGGTTATACAGAAATCAAGGACTAAGGGGTTCAAACATCCAAAGAACTAACACTTAGAACTCACCATCCAATGACTGACTAGCTTTAAGTACTGGCCATCCATCAGTATGGACAGCCAGAATCGGTCAAGGAACCTGTGACAGAATGTTTGAACAAACAGCAGGAGAGACAGGAACAAAGGAGGGAGGGAAGGAAGATGTCTTTAAATCTAATTAAACACCAATAAAGATCAGCAAGGCAACTTATAAATTTCAAATGGAAACTGAGAAAACTAGTTTGGGCCATGATTAAGTACCACATCAAACCTAAGAAAAGTATCTTTTCATTTCTAATCAGTAAGCACTAAAGATTTGTAGTGCTAGGCATGATGGTGTATGCCCAGAAATCTAGCACAAAGTGGCTGAGCAGGAGGACTGTTACAAGTTTGAGGCCAGCCAGGGCTACATAACAAAATTCTGCCTCAAGAAACCCAAATCATCAAAGTAAGTCCTATAATTTGAAAACTTCACATTTTAAACCTGTGGTAAAGGCCAGGCATGGTGGCACAAATCTTTAATCTTGTTACTCTAGAAAAGCAGGCAGATCTCTGGGAGTTTGAGGCCAGCCTGGTCTACACAATGAATTCTAGGATAGCTTAAGCAAACTAGTGAGACCCTGTCTTGAAAGAAACAAGTCAAAAAAAAATTGTAATAACAAGAGACATAAGCAGAATGCTTGACTGAGAAATAAGTCAACTGTCCACTGGGAACAGAAACCAGGAGCAAATCCAATCCCGGGAGCCAACCCAGTCCCGGGACACTGGCGGATGAGGATTGAGTCAGCAATCTCCACCAGAACAGGTTCAACTCCAAGCAAGGGACTTCTGCAGGAGGAGATCCAGACCAGGATTTACATAAACAGGGCAAAGCCAGCAGCCTAGACCAAAGTAGGCCTGAGACAGCAAACTGCAAGTGAGCAGAGCAAGGCACAGGAGCGCTGAGCTATCTCCAGGAACAGGAGTAACCAAGGGGTAACTAGAACTGTGACACTGACTGTACCACGAGGAACAACCATCTGAGCTTTGGATTCACTGGCACCTAGAAGATTATTAACAGAATCTCAGACAGCTCCAACCACACCTATTAGAGGAAAGGATGAGTAGAAAAGGTAAGATCACATGCTACACCACAAAGAGCAACACAATACCAGTAAAACCTAAAGACCCTACAACAGCAAGACCTAAACAACCAAATATGGATGAACCAGAAGAAAATGATCTAAAAAATAACCTCAAGAGAATGTTTGAAATTCTTAAAGATGAAATAAGAAATTCCCTTAAAGAAATTGAGGAAAAGACAAAAAAATTGGAAAATATCAGCAAATCACTTAAAGAAAACCAAGAAAAAGAAATCAAACACATAAAAGAAACTATTCAGGACTTGAAAACTGAAATAAAAACAATACAGAAATCACAAGCTGAAGGAATTATAGAAACAAATCATGCGAAAAAGATCAGGAACCACAAATGCAAGCATGAACAGCAGAATACAAGAGATGGAAGAGAAAATCTCAAGCACTGAAGATACAGTAGAGGAAATAGACTCATCAATTAAAGAAAACATTAAATCTAACAAAAGCATAACCCAAAATATTCAGGAAATATGGGACACCATTAAAAGGCCAAATCTTACAATAATCGGTATAGAAGAAGGAGAAGTTCAACTCAAAGGCACAGAAAATTTATTTAACAAAATCATAGAAGAAAACTTTCCCTACCTAAAGTAAGAAATGCCTATGAAGATACAAGAAGCTTACAGAACACCAAATAGACTAGATCCAAAAAAAAGTCCTCTCGCTACATAATAATCAAAACACTAAATATACAGAGTAAAGAAAGATTGTCAAGAGCTGCAAAGGAAAAAGGCCAAGTAACATATAAAGGTAGACCTATCAGAATTACACTTGACTTCTCATTGGAGACAATGAAAGCCAGAAGGTCACTGTCAAGCATTATGCAGACATTAAGAGGCCACGGATGCCAGACCAGACTACTATGCCCAGCAAATCTGTCAATCACCATAGGAGGACAAAACAAGATATTTCATTACAAATCTAGATTTCAGCAACACCTAGCCACAAACTGCTGTGGGAGAATTGTCTGTATTCTGTCAATCATGTTTTAAATAAATGCTGATTGGCCAGGCAGGAAGTATAGGCGAGTCAACTAGACAGAAAGTAGAGGCGAGGCGATGAGAACAGAAGTATTCTGGGAAGAAGGAAGCCTTCTCCCCAGTCCTGCCCAGACCACTGAAGAAGCAGGATGTGACCTGCCCTGCTGAAAAAGGTACTGAGCCATGTGGCTAACACAGATAAGAATAATGGGCTATATAAATTATAAGAGCTAATACGAAGCCTGAGCTAATGGGCCAATCAGTTTATAATCTTCTGTAGACCTCTGTGTGATTTTCTCTAGGACTAAACGGCTGGAGGAATGGGCAGAACAGAAACCCCAACAAGCAGCCAGGCCCTCATGTTACAGAATGGTGCCCAACGTGGACAATTGCATCCAACTACGTCCATATTCCAAATGTTGTTTATAAATGTTCTTTTACATTTAAAGGGGGATATGATTTAGATATGGATACTTTGCATTGGTATGGATTTTGCTTTAGTGATATAAATTTAAGGTCAATTTTGTTATATGTGTATGTATTTCTGATCTTGATTAAGGTATTGTGATTGTGTAGTTCATTTAAAAACTGTAATGTATAATTAGGAAATATAGGTTGTTAATGGATAATCATCGATAATAGTCAAGCTTGTAGTCATGTTAGTTAGATTTACTAGATATATAGAGATATATTTCAGTTAGGTAGGCATTCTTCATATCTTTCAAAGACTACAGAATATGGCATTTAATGTTTTAATAACTTAGGGCTTTTCATGACAATGAGACATGTCTGCTCCTGGCAGCACCAATCTACTTCAAAAGGAAGATGGGCATCGAAGAGGCTCCTTATGGAGTTGGTTAGCCATTTGGGCAAGAAACTGCTCTTGCCTGGACTGTTGCATAAACTGGACACAAAGAACCCGCAGAGAGAGGTCTGCTGAACTTGCCTAAATGTAAGATGATCCCTCAGAGTTCCTGATTCATGAAAGAGTCTGTGAGACATTCTGCAGAACACAAAAAAAAAGTGACTGAACTGTCTTTGAAATTTCCTGCTTCATGGAAATATCTGCTGGATACTATGGGCCTGAAGGCCAAAGATAGATGCCCCAACAGTAAGAAGAACTTTGGGTAAATATCCAGGCAGTGAGATGTCTCTGTCATTTCTAGAGTTTTGGAAGTTGCTTACTTCTTGTTTACTTAGGTAATATTATATCCTTCTGGAGTCTTTGATGGAGTTGAAGAATATAGTTTCCATTGTTATAATAAAAGATAAAATAGATATAAATATTATAACTGTAATTCTTGCTTGATAACTATTTTGTTATATGTAATTTTACTATGCTAAAGTGAAGGCCTTTCTTTTTTGTTTAAATAGAAAAGGGGGAAATGGTGTAGGAAGTTCTTCTGTTTGTGTGTTGCTTTCATTGGTTAAATAAAGAGACTGCCTTGGCCTTTTGATAGGGCAGCCCTTAAGTGGGCGGAGTACACAGAACAAAATGCTGGGAAGAAAGGAAGTGTGGCAGATGCCATGAATCTCTGGCCTGAGAGGATATAGGTTAGAATCTTGCCCGTAAGCCACAATCATGTGGTGATATACAGATTTAATAGAAATGGGTTAATCAAGATATGAGAGTTAGCCAATAAAAGGCTAGAGCTAATGGGCCAGGCAGTAATTTAATTAATACAATTTCTGTGTGCTTATTTTGGAAGTTAACCTTGCTGGGTGGCAGGACACAGCCCGCTCCTCCTATTACCCAAGGAACTTCTACAACTCATAAACACTTTCAGCAATGTAGCAGGATACAAGATTAACTCAAAAAAAAAAATCAGTAGCCCTCCTGTACACAGATGATAAAAGGGCTGGGGAAGAAATCAGAGAATCAATACCCTTCACAATAGCCACAAAGAGCATGAAATATCTTGGAGTAACTCTAACCAAACAAGTGGAAGACGTGTATGACAAGAACTTTAAATCTTTGACGAAAGAAATTTAAGAAGACACTAGAAAGTGGCAAGATCTCCCATGTTCATGGGTAGGCAGAATTAATATAGTAAAAATGGGAATCTTACCAAAAGTAATCTACAGATTCAACACAATGCCCATCAAAATCCCAGCAAAATTCTTCAAAGACCTCGAAAGAACGGTACTCAACTTCATATGGAAAAGCAAAAAACCCAGGATAGCCAAAATAATCCTGCACAATAAAAGAACTTCTGGAGGCATCACAATCCCTGACTTCAAACTCTACTACAGAACTACAGTACTGAAAACAGCCTGGTATTGGCATAAGAACAGACAAGAGGGCGGACGGTGGTGATGCACGCCTTTAATCCCAGCACTCGGGAGGCAGAGGCAGGCGGATCTTTGTGAGTTCAAGGCTAGCCTGGTCTACAAGAGCTAACTCCAGGACAGGCTCCAAAGCTACAGAGAAACCCTGTCTCAAAAAACCAAAACAAACAAACAAAAAGAACAAACAGAAGGACCAATGGAACCAAATTAGAAGACCCGATCTTTGAACACCTGATCTTTGACAAGGAAGCAAAAGATTTCAAATGAAAAAAAAAAGCATATTTAACAAGTGATGCTGGCATAACTTGATATCAACATGTAGAAGAATGAAAATAGATCCATATCAATCACCATGCACAAAACTCAAGTCCAAATGGATCAAAGACTTCAACATAAAGCCAGCCACACTGAACCTTATAGAAGAGAAAGTGGGAAGTACACTTGAACACATTGGCACAGGGAACCACTTCCTAAATATAACCCCAGCAACACAGACACTGAGAGAAACAATTAATAAATGGAACCTCCTGAAACTGAAAAGCTTCTGTAACGAAACGGACACGGTCAACAATACAAAACGTCAGCCTACAGAATGGGAAAAGATCTTCACTAACCCCACAACAGAGATCTGATCTACAAAATATACAAAAAAACTCAAGAAATTGGACACCAAAAGAACACATAATTCAATAAAAAAAAAAAATGGAGTACAGACCTAAGTACAGACCTAAACAGAGAACTCTCAACAGAGGAATCTAAAATGGCTGAAAGACACTTAAGGAAATGTTCAACATCCTTACTCATCAGAGAAATGCAAATCAAAACAACTCTGAGATTCCATCTTACACCTGTAAGAATGGTCAAGATCAAAAACACTGACGACAACTTATGCTGGAGAGGTTGTGGGGAACAGGTAACAATTCTGCATTGCTGGTGGGAATGCAAGCGGGTACAGTCCCTCTGGATGTCAGTGTGGCGATTTCTCAGAAAATTAGGAAACAATCTTCCTTAAGACCCAGTAATACCACTTTTGGGTATATATCCAAAGGATGCTCAATTGTGCACAAGGACATGTGCTCAACTATGTTCATAGCAGCTTTGTTTGTCATAGACAGAACCTGGAAACGACCTAAATGCCCCTTGACCAAAGAATGGATAAGAAAAATGTGGTACATTTACACAATGGAGTACTACACAGCAGAAAAAATAACGACAGCTTGAATTTTGCAGGAAAATGGATGGAGCTAGAAAACATTATTTTGAGAGGTAACTTAGATACAGAAGGAGAATTATCACATGTACTCACTCATAAGTGGTTTTTAAACATGAAGCAAAAAAAGCCAGCCTACAAACCACAATCCCAGAGAACTTAGACAACAACGAGGACACTAAGAGAGACTTACATAGATCTAATCTACATGGGAAGTAGAAAGTAGAAAAAGACAAGCTCTCCTGAGTAAATTGGGAGCATGGGGACCTTGGGGGGAGGTTTGAACGAGGAAGGGGAGAGGCGGGGAGGGAAGCAGAGAAAAATGTAGAGCTCAATAATTATCAATAAAAAAGGAATGCTTGACTGAATTTGATATTCTTACCTTAGATTGGTCAAGGATTTGAAGTTTCTCACATTCTATTTCGGATTTTTTCCAAGGATCATTCCATTTTTGAGAAGCTTCTTTTTCTTTCCTTTTTAAGGCAACCTGTTCATCTATAAATAATGTCCTTTTTAAAAAATACATACAAAAAGTGTAAAAAAAAGAATCATGTAAACAAATCACGACCTTAAGGAGTACAAAATGAAGCAGTTAATCAAAGTAGTTTGCTTGGGAGAAGATGACTCACAAGACAGAAAGGAACTTTGAAGGATATGGGATAAAAAGAAAACATTGATTTAGAGTCAAGCTTAAGTACAGCATAGACAGAATGTTTTTATTACAGAGATCAGAAAAGTGAAACAGTTCCTCAGATACTGTTGTGCTAACTGCTCTGCACTTCTACCTTTCTATGTTATTATTACTAACAGTCTTATAAGGTACATAGCCTAACTTCAGGGTCAACCCCAAGCTCAACTGCTTCCTGCCGATGTAACAGACACACTGCTATTTTTCATGCTAAACCTTGATTTCTTCTGTGAAATTAGGCAATAGTATCACCTATTTCAGGGTAGGGTGTACTCAGTTCTCACTAACTTCTGAAAGTAAAATAGGAACTGGCTGGTGAGATGGCTCACTGGTCACCAAGTCTGACACCCTAAATCCAATCCCAATGGTAGAAGAAGAGAACTGACCCTTCCAAATTGTTCTCTGACCTACATACACACACACAGACACACACAGACACACACACAGACACACACACAGACACACACAGACACACACACACACATACACACACACAAACAGAAACGGTCCAGGACTATTTGCAGGACTTCAGAAGGATGCCAGAGATGCACTGCTCATACTGAACAAGACTTGCTAATGTACTGAAAGGCAACCAAGTACCCCATGGGCCAACAGACCTGTACCAGAAAGCATATAAATTACCCAGCTCTTTCTTCCACTGCGCTCTTCTGGCTTCCAACAAACTTCTGTCGCGCTCCCGTTCCCCCAGAGTACTGAATATGTCAGCTGGCTTCCACTCACTCTCTCTAAGATAGAACACACACAGGAACCAAGGAGCCTTATCACTATGTTTCCATGTGACTGACGGCCAAGTCTTCAGAGCACTTCATGCAATGGACAAGCAAATACATATTCTCCAAATACTCCAGAAACACATGCGAGTCACATACATGGCCATTTTCTTCTCACACTGCTGAAGGGCCTCTTGAGCTCTACTGAGGACACACTTCCCTTCATCTGAGACAGGTGAAACGGCCTCCGTCTTCTGCAGTGACCCTGTGGCATTCACACTCTTCGACTGGCTAGGGACACTGATTAGCTGGAAACTGTCTCGGCCTAGGAAATAAAATGCATGTTTTAAAATCACACTATCATATAGCATCCCATCCTAATATACAGTCAAAAGAAAAGTCTTAGCAGGCATGACGGCTCATACCCATAACCTCAGGTAACACTCAGGAAGCCGGGGCAGGAGGATCACTCGGAGTTTGAGGCCAGTCTGAACAACATATCAAGTCTTTGGCCAGCCTAGGATGCAGAGTAAGACTTTGTCTCAAAATAAATAAATAAATAAATGAAAACAGGGAGGTGTGGAAGCACCAACCTTTGTTCCTAGCACACAGGAGGCCAATCTGTTTCAGGCCAGCCCTGGCTACACAGTTAGAGCCTGACTCTTGGGAATGATAGCACACACCTGTAATCTTGGCCCTCAGGAGACAGAGCAAGAGAATCAGAAGTTAAGGCAGCCTCAGCTACATGACAACATCTCAAAAACAAAGGCCAACAGCCCAGTCAGTAGAGTGCCTGCCTTGCATGAACACAGCCTTAGGCCGACTCCCAAGCACCACATAATCCAGCACATAGGGCAAACCTAGATTTCTGGCACTTGGAAGGGAAGGGAAGGAAAACTGGGAGGAGTTCAAGAGGACCCTGGAAACAACAGCAGGGTTATTATAACAAATAAAAATAACAGACTGACAGGATCTCCTTGTTTGAGACAGGGTACTGGTGGACTGAGGCCAGGCTGACCTACAAGAGACCCTTACCCTAAACAATAATCAAGAAAAAGAGAAAGTTGAGGCCCAGAGATTAAATAGCTGACTACTTGTCACAGCCATACAACTTCTTACAACAACAACAAAACCAGAACCAAAACCGAAAAATCAGGGCTGGGAATACCACTAAGCTGGTCTAGAACACACCAAAATGCTTGCTCATATGCCAACCCAGCATACTCCATCCCTAGCATTGCACGAACCAGTAAGGTGGGGCATACCTGTGTCGAAAAGCTCAGGAGGTGGAGGCAGGAAGGCAGGTCAGTCTTCAGTTATGTACTGAGTTTGAAACCAGCCTAGTTACAAAACAAAACACCTCCATTCACTCTTGCCAAAATAATTTATATTTATAGCTTAATTTATATAATTTAAAATTACATGTTATTTGTAATTATATATAACTATAATATAAATCACAATAGAGAGAGAGAGGCAAATGCAAATAGTTTAATTAAAACCATGACCTCCCATAAATAAATGGAGGAATAATGGATTGGGGGGGTAGGAACAGAGAGGGGATGGAGGGAGAGACTGGGAGGAGAAGAGAGAGGGGAAACTGTGGCTGGGATGTAAAATAAATGAATAAATAAATTCATTAAAAAAACAACAACCATGACCTTGCTTTTCTTCTTTACCTGTGGAAGTTTTCTGTGAACTGTGGTCTATGTGCCCAGCTGCCATAATTAAACCAAGTCTTGTACAAAAAGTTCACGCTCTAGCTTAAACATCCTTGTGACCCTCCTGAATGTGCCATTTCTCTTAGAAGAGGGAGCTTCTAAAATGCAAGTTACCTCAGGATTCAGTAAAATCTCTTGACTCTACTGGTATTAACTCTCCTTATACCTATACAGTTCTGAGCTACAATTCTGGCCTAGAGAAAGCCAGCTTCCTTTATTTTACAGACATCTAGACGGAGAGAAGGAACCCCAGTCTGCACATGCGGGAGCACACAGAAGCTCCCCGGCACCCAAGCTGGCTGCGTGACCCTCCCATGGCATCTGAGTACTTTCCCAGTCACAATGCCTTAGCTCAAAGCTGACAGTGGGCTTTTTAAAACAAAATCCTGATTAGTGGAACAGAAAGCCTACAATACTCGTCTAGGAATACATCTGATTTACACTGGTGAAAGAACAGTAGAGCCAACCTTAGCGGGGACGAAGGGAAGGACAAGAGGCACAAACAGGAACCAGAACATGGTATTTCAGAAACTTAAGTCTTCACAGCAAGGCGTCTTAAGATACCCTTCAATAGCAGAGGCTTATCTTTTTAAACCCTTGTGTGTAATTTTTCGTTTTTGAAATGGGTTCCCACTGTGTAGCTCAAGCTTGCCTCAGTTTGTGTACTCCTGCTCCAGTCTGCTGAGTTCAGGGACTATAACGCTAAACCCCATTGCAGGCTTATGCAAATATTTTAACTGCTGAGCTATCTCTCCAGCCCCCAAACCAGCTTTTAAGATTATTTTGAGGCCAGGCACAGTGTCAAAGGCTTTTAATCCCAGCACTCAATAGGCAGAGGCAGATGGATCTTCATGAGTCTGAGCACCAGCCTGGTCTATGTACAAAGCTCCAGGACCAGACCAGAGCTACATAAAGAGACCCTGATAAAGAAAGAAAGGAAGAAAGGAAGGAAGGAAAGAAGGAAGAAAGGAAGGAGAGAAGAGAGAGAGAAATATTTTAATCTTATATATTATTAATATATTTATAAGATAAATATATTAATCTTAACATATGGCAACACTATAAAGCAGTTTTACATATTTTATGTATAAGAAAGACTAATGTGTGGTGGCGCTGCCTTTAATCCCAGCACTCGGGAGGCAGAGGCAGGTGTGTCTCTGTAAGTTTGAGGCTAGGCTAGGCTACGCTACAGAGCATGTTCCAGGACAGTCAGGGCTACACAGAGAAACCCTGTCTTGTAACACCCTCCCTCCAAAAAAACAAAAGATCACTGCATGTTAAATCAGATTTTAAGAGACAGTCTCAAAAGCAGGCAATGAATCTGAAATACAAAAGTACATACTGGGAAAATTAATAGTACAAGGTTTAACAAGAATCTTACTTGCTTTTTCCTTCTTTCCGTTTTCAGCTAGGGACACGGATCCATTTCCTTGGCTCACACTCATCAAAATCTGTTGTAGTTGGTCTTGGGTTAGACACACCACACTGCTGTTCATGTTTTCGCTGGTGTGTGTTTTGCAAGGCTTCTGTTGAGCCACTCGGCATTTATCTGCGGTGTTTATAATCTTCTGGACGGTAGAGGCTGCAGGTGAAGACTCTTTCGGGAAATGAAAACAGTCTTTTTCTGCATGCTGCTGACATGAATCCTGAGACGGTGAAAATGGCAATCTGCTTTTCTCAGATCTTGCCTGTGAAGTTTCTGAACTGATTGTCTTCTTTTGAAAAACGTTTTCACTCCCAATGTAAGAATTCTGTGTTGATCTTAGAATGTGTCCAGTCTGTTTTATTCTTAAAGGACATTTTGCAATCTTGATCTTATTTCCCATCTGTGAAAACACAAGTTTATTCTTTAAGACAGTATATGAAAAAAACTGACCTTTCTGTCTGGAGACACAGTATTGCTATACAGCCTAAGCCGGCCTTGATCCCCTCATCTCTTCTGAGACTGCAAGTATGTACCACTACACCCGGCTAACACCATCTTTATGCTTAAAATCTGTGATAAACCAGGCCTCTAAGCATTTCATTTTGCTATTAATTAGGTACTATAGCCATAAGATATTGTTTACCTTTGCAGACTTACACTTGAAAGACTCAACAATGAGAAATTATTTTAACTCTAGGTAATAGAGAACACAAATAAAATTGTATGTTATAGGTCATCTTCATTCTATGCCAGCTTTGAATTTTGTACCAGTAAATTATGTACCTCACACTCTCTCTTTGAGGTTACCAGTCCTTATCCCTTGACTATCTCAGCTGCTCGGCCACACTCACCAATTCCAGTCCTGTGTGAATTACTATCGTGGTCACATCCACATAGTAATTCTTCCACACTTCTGGCAGTCACTTCCTGATACTTGTCAATATTCTCCAGATGGCCTCACTCATTCCCCAGTGTTCCTGATGTTACACTGTGACCCCAGTGATCTTATATTGACCCTGTAAGGACCCACAACTGCAAGCGCGCCACAATTCCAAGTTCTAGATAAAGACTATCACTCCTGCTTTCTAGCCCATTCTCCTCCACATCCCTAAGTGCTCTTTACACATGCTGGGCTCTGCTACCTGCCCATCCTAGCACCACCCCGCTTGCTCATTTCCTTCTTAACAATCCTTTCTTTTCCATTCTTTAATCTGCAGTCTGTCACATATACTAAGCAAACCCCTCGGCTCTAGGTTTAGGTTGTTTTTAAAAATATATATTTTATGTATGTGTGCCTGAGTTTATGTTTATGAGGTCAGAAGAAGTGTGAGATGCTCTGGAACTGGAGTTACAGACGGGTGTGAGCTGCCCTGTTGCAGGAGCAGTCGGTGCTCTTAGCCACAGAGCCATCTCTCCAACTGCTGGCTGCAGGTTTTGGACAACTCCAGCATCCGGGTACATTTCTGCTTTTGCATCCCTGGAGTTTTTACAATATAACCGTCTAAATGATGGGAGACAAATTAAAATGTGCCCCATAAGTTAGACCAGATGGAAACTGGCATGACCTCAAGGGCATTTCTCTCACCTAAAGGATGCCACCATATCTTCCCAGCTACGCTGCACTCTTGTACAGGATACAGCCTAGCTGTAAGATCCTCCAATAGTTCAAGAAAATCAAGAATGCCAGATTTCAGATTCTCATTTTTAGGCATAACCAAGTCATTTTAGAGCCAAGTATGGTGTACCCCTTTAATTCTAGCACTCAGGAGGCAGAGGCAGGTGCATCTCTGTGAGTTTCAGGACAGCCAGGGCTGTGTGGAGCCATAAGGTTAAACTTTATGTCCTATATGTCCCCAAGGTACATCTTCCACAATAACTTATTTTTCATAATTTGGCATTTTGTAATATTTTCTATAGTCCCGGAATATACTTCCCAACTTCTTCTCAAAACAAAACACCTCAAAACCAAGTCCTTTTAGTTTTTCAAAAGTCACTTTATCAATCAAATTACCAAATCCTGTGCATGGCTCCGGCAGGTGACCCCACCCACCAGCTCACCCGTCTCCAGCCGCTGGAATGCTCCTCTTCTGCTGTCTTCAGCATGAGACCGTGTCGTCGTTGGGCACTTTAGTCCTTTAAACACTATCTCATTCAAACTCCTAGGCATTTTGCACTCTCACAACAGGCCTTAGAAACCACTCTGGCTCCTCTCATCCCTGTGACCACCAGGCGCTCCTTAGACTGCTGTCACTGACAGTCATCAGTTTCAGTGACGGCCATCTAGCTGTCTTCACAGCGCTACATGCTGTGCTGTCCCACCTAGGAAGCTAGATCATATCCACCTCCCTTATCAGAAGTCCTACACTGAGCTAAGCTTGTAGTGTATGCCTGTAAACCAGCACTGTGGCAGGGGCGGGAAGACGATGAAGTTCTTTGCTAGCCTGAGTTATACAGTAAAACCTGTCTTTAAAAGAAAGAAAGAAAGAAAGAAAGAAAGAAAGAAAGGAAGGAAGGAAGGAAGGAAGGAAGAAAGAAAGATGGAAGGAAGGAAAGAAAGAAAGAAAGGAAGGAAGGAAGGAAGGAAGGAAGGAAGGAAGAAAGAAAGAAAGAAAGAAAAAGTCTTTAATGGACTCCCTATAGTTAGTCACACCATTTTCAAGGTATTGGAGCAAAAATTCAAACGTTCCACACAAGCTTTGTGTCCTAGGTGTCCCTGGGTACACCATTTTCTACAATAACTTATTTTTCATAATTTGGCATTTTGTAGTATTTTCTGTAAGCCTGGAATATACTTCCCAACTTCATTAACTAATCCCTCATCTCTGAACTTCAAATCACAAAGTCACCTCATGTGTGCATCATCTCTTGGTTCTACACCTTTCTAGGTCTCCAGTGCCCACCTGACTCTGTCACTGTGGTCATCTACCTGACCTGCGCTCTTCTAGAGAACAAGGGCAGGGCTTTTTCACTGTCTCCCTCTCCTGAAGAGGACAAAAAGAGGCCAGAGTGGAGCTGGACGCCGTGGCGCTTCACGCTGCTGGAAATCCCTGCTGGACGCAAACCTACCGACTGCAGTCCAGTGTGGAGGTTTATTTTGCCATATTCCAGTTGTGCCAGAAGTGTTATACGGAAAAGGTCTTCTTAAAACATAACCAAAACCCAAAAACTCAGCTGGGAAGTGGGGGCGCATGTCTTTAATCCCAGCACTCTGGAAGCAAAGGTGGGGGGATATCCATGAGTTTGAGGACAGCCTGGTCTATGAAGCGAATGTTCCTGAACAGTCAGGGCTGTTACACAGGAAACCATGTCTTGGAAAAACTCAATGACTTGGCACATTATATCAAGATATACTCAGTTAATTCTGAACCAAAGAGGAATAATAAAAGGAGACTAGAAAAAAACAAAAACAAAACCTTACCCATAAAGGTTCAGTTATGTTCAAGTTCCTGAGCAAGAAAAGCAACAGAGCCCATATCATTCCCAAGAGCTTACTGGATGAGATTATGTCATGAACACCTTTTCATAGTACACTGCTTCTTTTCTTTTCTTTTTTAAACCAAGTTCTATGGCTACTTCTTATACTATCAAGACAAAGTTCTGGTTGGGGAGATTGCCCAGTGATTAAAGTGCTTGCCGTAGTATTGCAAGGAGCAGTATTTAGATGCTCAGAGCACAAATAAATGCTGGGTGCATGTGAAGGCCAACCTGTAATTCCAGTGCTCAGAAAGCAGAGGCAGGAGATCCTCTAGAGAAAGCTGCCCAGATTGACTAGACTGGCAAGTTCTGGGTACAACTCAGAGACCCTGCCTCAACATTTGAACCAAGGAAAGTATACATTTCACACGTGGAAACAGGTAGGGTCAAAAATCACTTAACTTACCTTCACAGAAACTTTTGATTTATGCTCTACAAAAGAAAATAAAATTACTAAACTATAAACCCAAAGCATATGTCACAAAAGAAAACGTTAAGTGCTGTTTAAGATGACAATCTAAAAATACCAGCCCAAAAGCATTAAGCCCCACTTGAGTATTCCAACTTCTACAATGTGGTGGTTCAAGTATTGACCTCCATTTCAGTTTGTTTCAGTTATCTTGCCGGGGCAAGGCTATAAACCCACGTGTGGGGAGCAGACAAGTAACTTCATGGAGAAGACTGAGAACTATACTGAGTTTCAAAACTAACAAGAAGCAGTAATAGTAATAATAATAAATACTTTAGCAACTATGGCTATATTGTATAAATATAACTTTCTCACACCATAGTTTGATTACATGCAAAGCACACAATTTTCTAAACTCCACTTGCATTACTTATTCAGCAAGAAGGTATGCTAGCATCAAAAACATGACAGATGGAATACATTCTATGAACCAAAACTGACAGCAGCAATCACTGTCGCAATCTGATTTTACTAGGATAAACATCAATTCAAAGACATTTAAGAGAAGAGGCTTTTTCCAAGTGTCATTTAACTGTCTATCACAAGCAGAATATCTGCTAAACTACTACATGTTCTACATACAAACTTAAACATTTGAGACTTCCAATAACATAGCATACCATATGGAGACAGTATTAGCTTGGTTTTTCCATCCAATAATTCAGTTTCAAGCTTTAAGCCATCTCTGCAACATAAAAAGAAATTGATTTTGACACTTTACTAGCAATCAGAAATATTTATATGAACCTTGAAAGCAAGCCTATTTCTCTGAATGTATATAAGAATCATGTGACCATCAAAGTGGGGTTTTTGTTTCTCTAAACTCATATAAGCCAGGATGCCCTCAACCTCACTATGTAGGCCAGGCTGGCTTTGAATTCCTGATCCTCCTGCCTGAACCTCTCTCCAAAGTAATCTTTATATTTTAGAGTATTTTTTTTCCAAGGCTGGAGACACAGCTCAGCAGTTAAGAGCAGATCCAGCACTGCAGCTAACAACCACCTCTCTGGCCTTCCAGGGCACCAGGCACACAAGTGGCCCACAGTCTTATGAGCAGACATGACACCCATACATGCAAAATTAAAATAAATATTTAAAAAGTATTTTTCAACTAAAGAGGAAAAAATCACAGGAAAAGACATAACTTCTCAGTGAGGCAAGCGTTTGTCATTTTTAACTTGAAACATGATTTTTGCTATTGGTAAGGAATAAAGTAATTCGGTTATAACAGCATCCTTTAACCTGTAGCTCTATACCAAAAATTCCATGCTGCTACCACAACTACTTACCAAGGTGTAAGACACTGATATGCCATTTATTAGTTTTGTAATGCTTCATGACTGACGTATTCTAAGGAGGGCTGCAAGCACCCGGAAATGTTTAAAATGGTCACCAAGGTGACAGCTGCTTAAGCACCCAATTTGGGGTATTTCATATAATACATGGATGCTTTAGTGCCTCTTTGTTTTTACTATCATAATAAATGCCTACGAAACGTTGGCTAATAAGACACTTTACATGTCAAAGGCACCAGTATAAAAACGGTAAACGCTACCAGCAAAACTTATCTTGTCTATTAAAGTAATCATCAAAACTCCACTGATGGGATTACACGCAGTATTTCATTGTTTTATTGGGGGTGGGTGGGTAATGTGTCAATGAACAACAACGAAGACAAAGAAAATGTTAAAGAGCAACCAAGCAATTGCGGGCGAGCAGGTTAAGAAAGGTCTAACTAGTAACGCTAAACTCAGTGTTGCTTTGACAGAGGAATCAAAGCGCCTTGGTTTGTTAAAGGAAACAATCTGGGAGAAAACTTGTTTGAGGCATCCGGTAGCAGGGCTATGAACAGCTCACGTTTACGTTAGAAGGCAACATCTTGAATGAAACCGAAGTTGCTAGTACCCTATCCTACCTCTCTTCCCGGGGGTAGGATAAACTCGCAGATGACAACCTAACATCCAGCTTCTGGATGCGCGGTTACGTTCCGGTTTAGTAAAACGCTGAACTTCTGAAATGAAGACCACGCCCAGACTCGGTCCTGCCCCAGCTCAGGGTGCCCCAGCCTGGTGCAGGGCATCGGCGGCGACCAGAGCTGCTCGCCCTCCGGGGCGCCGTCCCAGTTCCGGGGCGCTGCGCCACCACAGCCCGCGCTCGACCGCCGTCCCCGCGCCCGCTGCCCTGCAGCCCAGGGTGTCCCCGCCCGCTTACCCTAGGTTCATGGCCCGGTCGCCCACCCGCAGCTCCGCCAGGCCACTTGTGTACCCAGGTCTCCGCGGCTGCGCAACAAACGCTACGCCGATTGGATGCCTAGGGGTCAGTCGAGCCAATCAGAATGGCGCATGCTGGCGGGTGTTTTCGGCCTGAATCGGCCTCCCGGGACTCTGCACTTTGTAGGGGCGTCTGCAGTTCCCAGGGTTCCCGCCGGCCTCAGGGAGTCGCCTTGGCTCAGACGGACGTTTCCAAACAGACAGAAAACAACAAATGTAACTTTCTTATTTCGTATTTAAAGGAGAAATTTATTTTAGCACAAAAATGTTGAGAGACTAGGGATGCCTAGGGCACATAGTGTGTCACTGTCTCTTGTTCTCCTCTCATCAAGCCTTGCATACTGAAGTTCTGTAAAATCATCATTTATGCCCTGGCAATGCTTAAGCACGCATGGGCAGCCCGTTTATTGATGGTTGTCTATTTGTTCCTATCCTAGGCAGTCCTAGATGCTTGTGTTATCATACCCAAGGTTCCACAGTCTTCCTTTATGCTGTCTCTCCAGAGTTTTCTGGGTCTTTCTCTTTGCCTTATCCCGTGCACTCCTCCAAGGAGTGCTATCTTCGGGTATCTGCCATCATTGATTCTTGTAACATGGCGGAAGTATCTCAAGTGCCTTTGCCATATTCTTCTGTGAATGGAGGTCTTCCTTCCTTCCTTCCTTCCTTCCTTCCTTCCTTCCTTCTTTCTTTCTTTCTTTTTTTTGTTTGTTTTTCGAGATAGGGTTTCTCTGTAGCTTTGGAGCCTGTCCTGAAACTAGCTCTTGTAGATCAGGCTGGCCTCGAACTCACAGAGATCCACCTGCCTCTGCCTCCGGAGTACTGAGATTAAAGGTGTGCACCGCCTGGCTGATGGAGATGTTTCTTAATGTCATCACTGCTCAGCCTATCTCCTCGTGTGACATCTAGAATCCTCCTAAGGTCTCTGGTTTCTGCTACACTCCCTATGAGATTATGGGGGCCAATTGCGTTCAAACTGAACACACCCTCATCTGAGGAGTGGGTAGGGAGGATCATGAGACCCTCATCTGAGTATCCATCCACCCTTCTCAGACAATTACATGCAATGCTGCCATACTTTACACGTGGATTCTGGGGGGACAAGGGGAGGAGATGCCCAAGTATGTACAGCCATGGAGAAGTCATCATGCTTACTGGGTGCATTCCGTCCAATGTCATTACTTTCGGCCTACCCAAGCTCCAGCCTGAAACCCGTCACCCATGTTCGCTCCGAAAGCAACCCTAATAGCATTGTTCTGTTGTTAAGATTCCAGGAGGAGGGACTACCTTGAGGAAGAGCCAGTTTTAAATTTTGTCTTGTTTTGTTTTAAAAGATATGTGCTCCCCTGCCTCCACCCTGTCCAATAACAGGGTTGGCATGGCTACAGGTGGCTATTAATTCATAGCCACCTGACTTGAGTGTTGGAGTCCGAACTTGGCGCCTCTGGAAGAGCAACAAGTGACAATTTTGACTGAGCCTTAATCCATTAACAGGGGTCATTCGGGCAGCTAGACATAGGCTCTGTTGTTCAATGGCTTGGTGGTCAGTGCCTCTTTGTGGCCCAGAGAGAGCTCTGTTGGTGTACGAGTTTGTTCACGTTGTGATCATCGGTGCAGCATGTAAAGAGCTGAGGAGGAATATATTAAAGACTACTAGTACTCCTGGGCAATGGCACGCTCCTCAGAACTACAGCCAGATGTGTTCGAGACAGCGTGGCTCAGGAGGATTCTAGGCGGCACACGAAGAGACAGGCTGAGCAGCGATGACATTAAGAAACATCTCCATCTCCAGAAGGATATGGCAAAGGCCCTTGAGATACTTCAGCTATGTTATGAGAATGAATGACGGCAGACACCCGAAGACAGCACTGCTTGGAGGAGTGCATGGGATAAGGCAAAGAGGAAGGTCCCGCCCCCTCCAAAGAAAGCGCTGGATAGACAGCATAAAGGAAGACTGTAGAACCTTGGGTATGACCATAAAACAAGCATCTAGGACTGCCCAGGATAAGAACAACTGGAGAACCGTGATAAATGGGCTGCTCATGCATTATCAGGACATAAATGAATGAATGGGTGAATGAATGAATGAATGAATGAATGAACGAGGACCAGACTAGAAACCCTTCCCCACTGAGGCTGGTGTTTTGCAGAGCAGAATGAGGAAAAGCAGCCACTTTGAAAATGATATGTAAAGGTCTCAACCTTCCAGTATTTGGGTGCCATTGAGAGTCTAAGTTTCCTCTCAGTCCTGTCCTCTTCCTTCTTGGAAGGGTCCTATTTTTTTGTTTGTTGTTTTCAAGACAGGGTTTCTCTGTGTAGCCTTGGCTATCCTGGAACTTGGATACCAGACTGGCCTTGAACTCACAGAGATCTGCTAGCCTCTGCCTCACAAGTACTGAGAGAAAGGCGTGTGCCACCCCTGTCTGGAGAGTTCTGTGATTTCTAAAGCTTTGTCTGAAACTGTTCAGAAGCCTTCCCCTGTGGGCATGAGGTGGAGACCTGTAATATGAGGGCTCAGAAGGCTGAGGTAAGAAGATGACTGCAAATCTGATGCCAGACTGGTGACCACAAACAAACAGAGCTGTTGCCTCAAGAGGGATAAGATATGGCTAATTCTGGAGTCAAATATGGGTGACAATGGCCTAGGAATACAGATTTTGATTGCCCGGAATTCCGTATTTCAATGTGGTAACAGTTTCTTGATGTTTTATAGTAACAGAACAAAGACAGTCATAATTCAAATAAGTTGGTGGGGACCCCGCGTCGAAAGTACACACAACAGAGGTGGGAGCCTCTGCTAGCAGCCTCAGGAGCTGTCTGATGGCATGCTTAGCTTTTGGGGTGGCGGAAGCTAGTAGTCTACTAAGAAAAATGGTAAGTCAGACACAGAGATGGGCAGCACATAGGTATTAATTAGGCTACAGATAGTCCAAGATGGTCTGCAGAGATGGCTCAGTGGTTGACGAGCTTTTGCTGTTCTCCCAGAGGATCCAAGTTTGATTCCCAGCACCCACATGACAGCTCACAACTGTCTGTGATGCTAATCCCAGGAGATCTGATGCCTTTTTTTTTTTTTTGGTACCTGTGGGCACCAGGCATATGTGTACACAGATGTGTATATATGTAAACCACTCATATATATGAACATTAATAGAAAGAAGGAAAGGAAAACCAACCAACCAAAGGTCTCCCAGAACTCCACAAGCGGGAAAGCTTGCCCATATCCTATATCAGCGGAGTTCTCTTAGCCTCCTTACACACAGCAATGCTGGGGATTCATTTGTGAACATGGCTTCACAGAACAAGTTAATTAGATTCCTCTCTGTCTCCCGGACCAGACAACAGAAATGAAGGAGATATGCATTGTACAAAAGCAAAGTTAAATTACATAAATTGTTCGGATGTGAAGGGATGCAGGTCTTAACTGAGAAATCCTGGGAAATATCTTCAGAATTATGCAACCATCAGGGGAGGAGGTGTAGGGGAAAAGGGACAGTCAAAGAAACCCCCCTGGCTCTGAAACCAGAGCCAGTGAAAGAAACACACGGTGGCCCTGAGACCCAAGCCAGTGAAAGAAATACTTTAGCCACAAGCCCAGAACCAAAGAAATACACCCTGACTCTGAAACCAGGGCCAAAGCAATATACTTTGAAAGAATTATGCACTGGCCCAGAAACTAGAGCAAAGAGAAACATAGGTTGACCCTGAAATCAATCATCTCTGCCCTTGACCAATTAAAATAACCAATTCTTGAGGAGAAAAACTAACCAATCCCTCTTCTCCTTGGGAAAACTCCGCCCCCTAAGAAGTTTAAGCCCTGTGCCTGTTTAGTTTGTGGCTGCTCTTCTTCCTCCCTGGTAGAGGCAGCCACTCTCCTGGATTCTTTTTTTTTTTTCATGATATTTATTGAGCTCTACATTTTTCTCTGCTCCCCTCTCTCCTTCAACCCTCCCCCAAGGTCCCCATGCTCCCAATTTACTCAGGAGATCTTATCTTTTTCTACTTTCTACTTCCCATGTAGATTAGATGTATGTAAGTCTCTCTTAGTGTCCGCATTGTTGTCTAAATTCTCTGGGATTGTAGTTTGTAGGCTGTTTTTCTTTGCTTTATGTTTAAAACCACCTATGAGTGAGTACATGTGATAATTGTCTTTCTGTGTCTGGGTTACCTCACTCAAAATACTGTTTTCTAGTTCCATCCATTTTCCTGCAAAATTCAAGGTGTCGTTATTTTTTTCTGCTGTGTAGTACTTCATTGTGTAAATGTACCACTTTGTGTTTTTTTTTTTTTGTCCATTCTTCAATCGAGGGGCATTTAGGTTGTTTCCAGGTTCTGTCTATGACAAACAAAGCTGTTATGAACATAGATGAGCACATGTCCTTGTGGCACGATTGAGCATCCTTTGGATATATACCCAAAAGTGGAATTACTGGGTCTTGAGGAAGGTTGTTTCCTAATTTTCTGAGAAATCGCCACACTGATATCCAAAGGGGCTGTACCAGCTTGCATTCCCAGCTGCAATGCAGAAGTGTTCCCTTTACCTCTCCAGCATAAGTTGTCATCAGTGTTTTTGATCTTGGACATTCTTACAGGTGTAAGATGCAATCTCAGAGTTGTTTTGATTTGCATTTCTCTGATGAGTAAGGATGTTGAACATTTCCTTAAGTGTCTTTCAGCCATTTTAGATTCTTCTGTTGAGAGTTCTCTGTTTAGGTCTGTACTCCATTTTGTTTTTTTATTGAATTATGTGATCTTTTGGTATCCAGTTTCTTGAGTTTTTTTGTATATTTTGGAGATCAGATCTCTGTCTGATGTGGGGTTAGTGAAGATCTTTTCCCATTCTGTAGGCTGTCATTTTGTCTTGTTGACTGTGTCCTTTGCTTTACAGAAGCTTTTCAATTTCAGCAGGTCCCGTTTATTAATTGTTTCTCTCAGAGTCTGTGTTTCTGGGGTTATATTTAGGAAATGATTCCTTGTGCCAATGCGTTTAAGTGTACTTCCCACTTTCTTTCTCTTCTATAAGGGTCGGTGTGGC